CCAAGTCAGTATACAACCGACAAGCAGGTGCACACACACACATTCACTGGCAGGTTGACCTGCTGACATGGATTCTCTGCTGGGGGGGGGGGAGGTAATGATAGGCGGCGATAATTTTTGTCCGCAAAATTATTATTAAACAGATATCGAATTATAGAATAATCAATCTAGTTGAGATGCCCTGGAATATATTCATTGTATATCTGACACCGTGCTTGTGAAATGGTAACAGCTCTCCTCTGTTTCATGAACACTGCAATTGCCATCAAATGGATAAGAATTATTAAATAATTACTGCGGTATAGCTTGCCAACGCAAACATACATCCATTATTATGTTACATATTGTATTACTTATAAACTCATAAAACAATTGTCTTATGTTACATTATTAGGGTACTTAAATTAGCCTGCAGACCATCATTATATATGGCGCATTACTGTAAAACATGTTGGCTATTATTCAATATCGATCAAATTAGTAGCCGCCATTGTATTTTCTATCTGATTATAGATATTTGAAAAATTATAACTGAAGAAAATGTCGCAACAATTTCAACTAAACATTTATTTATTTTTTTTAAGTAAACCGGAAAAGATTTTTAAAAATCGTTTGATTATGAGCCAGAAGTGAAGATCGGATTCACTAATCAATGTATCACACAGAATCTCTACCCATCTTAACAATCCCAATCATTCAAGTAAACAGAAATAATAAATGTGTGCATCGTATTAGAGATTGTTCAAACAAAATGACACAATCATCTTTTCAACAAGACCAGACATGGGACACATCACTCGTGCCGACTCCATCTTCTGTGGCTCTTTACTCCATCTCTGTGACTCCTTACTCCATCTTCTGTGACTCTTTACTCCATCTTCTGTGGCTCTTAACTCCATCTTCTGTGGCACTTTACTCCATCATCTGTGACTCTTTTCTCCATCTTCTGTGACTCTTTACTTCATCTTCTGTGACTCTTTACTCCATCTTCTGTGACTCTTTTCTCCATCTTCTGTGACTCTTTACTCTATCTTCTGTGACTCTTTACTCTATCTTCTGTGACTCTTTACTCCATCTTCTGTGACTCTTTACTCTATCTTCCGTGACTCTTTACTCTATCTTCTGTGACTCTTTACTCTATCTTCTGTGACTCTTTACTCCATCTTCTGTGACTCTTTACTCTATCTTCTGTGACTCTTTACTCTATCTTCTGTGACTCTTTACTCTATCTTCTGTGACTCTTTACTCTATCTTCTGTGACTCTTTACTCTATCTTCTGTGACTCTTTACTCTATCTTCTGTGACTCTTTACTCTATCTTCTGTGACTCTTTACTCCATCTTCTGTGACTCTTTACTCTATCTTCTGTGACTCTTTACTCTATCTTCTGTGACTCTTTACTCCATCTTCTGTGACTCTTTACTCTATCTTCTGTGACTCTTTACTCTATCTTCAGTGACTCTTTACTCCATCTTCTGTGACTCTTTACTCTATCTTCTGTGACTCTTTACTCTATCTTCTGTGACTCTTTACTCCATCTTCTGTGACTATGTACTCCATCTTCTGTGACTCTTAACTCTATCTTCTGTAGCTCTTTACTCAATTTTCTGTGGCTCTGTACTTCACCTTCTTTGGTTCTTTACTCTATCTTCTGTGGCTCTTTACTCCATCCGATGTGGCTCCTTACTCCATCTTCTGTGGCTCTTTACTCCATCTTCTGGGGCTCTTAACCCCATCTTCTGAGGCTCTTGACTCCATCTTCTAAGGCTCTTGACTCCATCTTCTGTGGCTCTTGACTCCATCTACTGTGGCTCTTTTTTTCCGTCTTCTGTGACCCTTTACTCCATCTTATGTGACTCTTTACTCCATCTTTCGGACTTTTTACTCCATCTTCTGTGGCTCTTTACTCCATCTTCTGTGGCTCTTTACTCCATCTTCTGTGGCTCTTTACTCCTTCTTCTGTGACTCTTTGCTTCATCTTCTGTGGCTCTTTACTCCATCTTCTGAGACTCTTTACTTCATCTTCTGTGACTCTTTACTCCATCTTCTGTGGCTCTTTACTCTTTATTCTGTGGCTCTTAACTCCATCTTCTGGGGCACTTTACTCCATCTTCTGTGGCTCTTTAATCCATCTTCTGTGACTCTATACTCCATCTCAAATCGATTAAATTTGGTCAACTCATCAATACTTATAGTATTTATATACAGTCTAATTTATTCTACGCCCCACTGCAGACCGGACACTAATGTTGCCAGTTTGTTGGGTTTTTTTTCCCTTCGAAAGATTTATCTCGATGTTCAGTTTCATTCCGTACAAAATTTAAAAAAAAAAATAGAGCATGCGTCCAAGCAAACATGACTAAAACTCTCGCGCTCTTGAACGTGTACTTGCGCTTGTCAACGGTGCATAGCCCCCAGCCGTCACGTGTTCCCAGTAGTGAAACTGAAGATATGTTGGGTCTCTCACATGATGAAACAGGATTAATTGTCGAGCATATTCTTGGCTCGTACGATATATGACAGGAAGAGGGGGGGGGTCGAGTTGGATGAAGGTGGCAGAAGAATTCTTGGAGAATTTTATTTAGATGGCAGCCGCGTCACAAATTAACGCGGTAGTCTAAATGGGAACTGAGCAGTAACTTACCGTGACTTTTTTCGCCGAATCACGCAACTGGACCCTCGTATTACCGTGGCCTAAAAACGTTCATTGCGACCAGCTTTAATTCGAATTCGGATCGTAGTCCCGGGCACGGGGCATGGTAAGTGGATTCTGAAACTTCTCAAAATAATTCGTTCATGCATTGTTGTACAGTGACCAAAAAAAAACACCAAAAAAAAAAAAAAAAAAAAAAAAAAAAACCCAAAAAAAAAAAAAAAAAAAAAAAAAAAAAAAAAAAACAAGCTACACACCTCCCCCTAGAGCCCAAGGGATTGACCCCACTTCACGTCAACCTATCGAGCTGAAACTCGGCACATAGACTCGATGCCGATGGCAGCACGTTCTTTCAAATTTTCATACCCACTACTCAACCCCAACCCAACAAATGAGTGTCTCCTGTTTTTCTTTTCCCTAGGGGATGATAAAGGAAATAGGATGCCACTGATTTCAAGAAATAAAATGAGATTCTATTTTAAAAAAAAAAAATTAAATATCGCAAGTGGATTTGGTGCGTAATATTTTCTTTTGTTTTTCTGAAATAGTTGGTGAAATAAATCTGCGGTGTAAACGCGGGTGGGACATTAAAATATAAATTTGGTTCAGGGGCGTGAAAAAATGTGCGGTTGTGAGCCTTGAGGGAGCGCTAATTGTGATTCTGATAAAATGCGCTACCTGTCTGCATGTGTTGTCAAGTGTTCAAGCCACCACCATCTCCCCCATTGCTCCATATTACATTTTATAAAGGATTTATACGAAACAAATTGTTATAGAGGTTGTTTAATTAGCTACGAGGGGAAGAGGGGGGGGGGTGTGAATTGAAACTTACTTGGATTGGTGAGACATTGTAAACATACACTATCACTTTCAATTCATTAACTTGAAAAAGTTGGATCACGATTCTATTTCCTCACCTAGCCAAACAAATGTCATATTACATTTTATAAAGGATTTATACGAAACAAATTGTTATAGAGGTTGTTTAATTAGCTACGAGGGGAAGAGGGGGGGGGGGGGGAATTGAAACTTACTTGGATTGGTGAGACATTGTAAACATACACTATCACTTTCAATTCATTAACTTGAAAAAGTTGGATCACGATTCTATTTCCTCACCTAGCCAAACAAATGGTAGTCTATGAGAGGGAATAATAACCAAAAATGGCTAATAAAACTAAAGATGCTTGGTCCAGGAAAGGCAACTAGGTATTTTACTATTACTGAACAAATTAATACGAAAGTCGTCTCTCTTTGTTTTATTTATAAATTACATATATCTATGATATCTTCAACTCATACTTAAAATAATAAATAACAAAACATCTTTATTCTTCTCTTTTTTTTAAATATAAAGAAGGTTACCCGTGGTAATATAGAGCAGTCTAATAGATTATTTTAACATGAGTCTCACAATGTCTTTTACCAGACAAATGCATTGATCCAAAATTTTGATAGAGCAGTTATGGTACAATTATTTTAAACTGGTTAAAAAGTCCCTTTGAATATCAACGACATAACTGGTATAGCATATGTCACCTCCTCATCAGATTTCCCAGTCAGCCTCACCCTCATAACAATGCTCATAAGTTCAGAGCAAGGTCAGTGAACCACTGGCTACAAAACTAGGCAGAGGAGAGGCATGTCGGAAGAAGCTACTTCCTTGTAGCAAAATAATATTGATAATAATGTTGGGGTAGCTGAAAAGAATATTTTTAATAAAACCATGTTACTTGGTTAGCTATTTTATAAATTTATATGAAACTATATACTTATCTTTTTGTCATTTTAAAGGTCTACATTTTCTTTATTATTTTAAATAGAAAATATATAATTATCAATGTAAAACATAGGCCAATACCAGAATGGGGCTCCATTTAAGGCATTTTTATTAGAGAAAATAAGATTTATAAACAAAAGATGTATTCAAGAGTTATGCAATCCTAGCACTTTAAATGGAGTAACCTTGCCTCATTCTTTTGTAGTTCTGACTTTTTCTAAAATTTTAATATGTTTTGAAACATTTGTGCTTAAAAAGTCAACTTTTTGTGGCCTTTTTATAAATGGAGATCAACTAAAAATATAGTGTATAAATAATTTTTGCTCAGGTAATATGGTCACACTTTTTGTGGCCTTTTTATAAATGGAGATCAACTAAAAAATATAGTGTATAAATAATTTTTGCTCAGGTAATATGGTCACACTAGCTATGTAAATTATCATGATTTTATTTCTGATAAAGAAAATTTTTAACTGTATGCTTTGATAGAGGAATAAATCTATAAAGGACTAGTCTATTTGTATCATTTATGAAAGCTAATGTAACAGAAAAAAACAAACACTCAAGATACAAAACATTAATTTAATAAAGCTTCTATTTGCATTTAAGTGGTAAGTATTCATTAAAGAAAACTAGACCATAGTAAATTTGACTACTAGTGACAGAAAATGAAAAACATTCCTCTTGTGACAAACATTACAAAAGTTTTTGACAAATGGGAAAACATGTAAAATACATAGTAAAATGTTTGCATATCTTCACAGACCAAAAAGTATGATTAACAAGTCCCTTACAACCAATCTATTGTGTTCATTGCAAAGATGATCTAAAGCCATTTTTAAACATTCATTTTGTCTTATCAGATTTCTTAATTATTTTATTTAATTTTGATTTTTTGACACTGGAAGTCAGGCCAAATTTGTTGGAGTCTTGTTGACACCACCAGGCAAAAAATTGTGGCACTATAAATAATATAAGGTTTATAGACCAAAATGTCAGCGCTGGATACCCACTTTGAGGAGGCCTCAATGATTCAGATGTTCGATGATGCAAAGATCCAGCAATATGTGAAAACTGGGCCTAAAAATAGTGTTAGAGCGTTAAAGAAAGTTTATTTTCTATTCCTTAGTCAAAATGGAAACAAAAATTAGTAAAATAACATTTAACTTTTGATATTTTAACCAAATAATTTTTTACGAATAAAATAAAGCTATGATCTTATTATAGGGGCTGGAGAAGTAAATTCCATTGTATAGAGTATAATAGAGTAAAGCAAACTTAATCATGACATTAATTTGTCAATAAAATAAATTGGTGTAATGTTAAAATTAAATTTTCTAATAAAATTGTGAATGGTAGCAATATAAAATTTAATCAGAAAGTTGCTTTCCACAAAAAATGTAATCAAGAACAAGTAACATAATATATTTTCGCTGAATGGTCAATGATGAGGTAATATTACCTGAGCAGCAGCTCCTGCATGGATGAGTGACCAGTCTGCCATCCAAACCTGACCTGGGCAAAGTAAGGCGTAGGCAGCACCAAGATAGTAAGCCAGAAAAAAATATCCGTATACGATCATCTATTGGATGTATTGAAATTAAAACAATGTTGATTAGGTAAACAAAGTTACAATGATGGATTTTGTAAACAAAATTTGAACAGTTAAACAGGGACACAAGCGCTGAAAACTAGACGCATAACATTTTAGAAGGCTGTCACAATTACAAAACATAAATGAGTTTAAAGTAAATTTTACATTGTAATGTAATTAATTTACACCATCTGACCAAATCCAAATCCATTAAGCAAAACATGACTTAATAAATTCCTTCTTGACACACTTTTGAAAGAAATTTAAGAGAAATTGAAGGTTACAACAACATGATTATTTATGGGAATTACTTGCAACAAAAAAGCATCCAATCAAATCCAATCATTCATTTTTACTTGAAAAATAGAATACAAAGGAGACGATAACCTGTTGAACTTTAATATATTCATTGCTACAAACTTTCAGATTACTGTCATGATCCCCCTATCTAGCAGTGGCCAAAAAACTTTTGTTCCCCCACGTGTGGAAGGGGTTGAGCTGATGTCAACCCATCCAACCCAAACAACCCAGGCACCTAAGCAGGAAGCAGACTGCTACAAATGGTTGACCATTAGGATAATCTGCTGCTGTATGAGGATGAGATGATGATGATGTCATGTATTTAAATTAGGAAACGGCATCAGCGGGCCCTTGAGACAAAGCTCTTAACGCCCTTCCAAAACTATCGCCTCCCACTAAGCCAGAAAAAGTCCCCTAACTATCAGGCAGCAAAGCAGTTGGAGATGCCCTCCTCCTGAGATGATGATGTAGAATCGTCTACTTTATTATGATCAAATTTCACAGAATCCCTTCAGTGTTTTATTCAAATTCAATAATCTTTTTCAGATATTTAAACAAATACCTGAAACTTAGGAAAATTTGTTTCGTCTGCCAGATAGGGCTCAATTGTTTGGATGTACTCCTTCATTGCTTCAGCATTTCCCCCTAAAACAGCCTGGAGGGTAATTAAAATACAAAAATTAACTTTTATTTCACATGCGTCTCAATTAAACTTGAAAAAGTAAGAGTGCCCAAAGTATCCTAAGGATAAACTAAGGAAAGCATTTTATTCATTTCACTGTCTCATCAACTTAATGGTGTTGTACTTTAGCAAACTTTCATAGAACTTCTTTATGCAGTTAAATGTAAGTGAAAGTGATGACAAAAAACAAAAACAAAAACAACTTCAATTGATTTAGGACTTCCTTAACCCTATATATCAAGAATCATGTTTTTTCCTATGTTAATCTGATAAGGGCTTATGCCTACTGTGTAACAGTGTATATCTAATAGGCTGATACTTCTCATCTAATCTGGTTGATGTAACACAGTGGTTCACAACTTTTTTGACTCACAGAGCCCCTTTTCAGAAACAAATTGGTTGGGAGCCACTTAGGACAAGCTTATTTCTTACCAGCTAATGTAATAATAGTGTTCAGGAGTTTCCTGGAGTAGCTGTGTGACCCTTGAGAAGTGCACGCAGAGCATTTAGGGCACTGCTTGGGAACCACTGATATAACCACTCTAAATAAATGTTGACTGTACTAAAAATTAGCTTACCAATCCACGAAACAAGGATAAGAAAATGGCACCAATAAAATAAATAAAGAAAAATAAATCAACAGGTCGCTCCCAGATAGGTTTGAACTGAAATGAGAACATGAAATGTATTTAAATGTGAGAATGTCTTTTAATTATATTTTATTTTTATATTATTCATGAATGACTTTTAAACATAACCTATCCTGCTACTGCCCTCTCCTTTTAATGTGAGGGAAAAAAAAACCTATCCTGCTCTGCCCTCTTCTTTCATGTGAGGACAAAAAACACTATCCTGCTACTGTCCTCTCCTTTTCATGTGAGGACAAAAAACACTATCCTGCTACTTGCCCTCTTCTTTTCATGTGAGACAAAAAAACACTATCCTGCTACTTGCCCTCTTCTTTTCATGTGAGGACAAAAAACACTATCCTGCTACTTGCCCTCTTCTTTTCATGTGAGGACAAAAAACACTATCCTGCTACTTGCCCTCTTCTTTTCATGTGAGGACAAAAAACACTATCCTGCTACTGCTTTCTCCTTTTCATGGAGACCAAAAAACACTATCCTGCTGCTGCCTTCTCAGAGTGGTTGAATAAAAAAAAAAGTAACTAACTTTGGTTGTGAAAAAAGATCTAACCTTCTGAACAGTTGATGACTGGACAGGACGATCATGTAGGAGCTTAAAACCAGCCAACAGTGGCAAAATTAAATATGGAACATTCAGAAGAATAGAAAGCTTGAATGGATGGTTGCCTGCAAAAATAAAAAATCAAGCAATGAAGAAGGCTGTTGTATATGTTCATATTATCTCTTTATATGTTAATCATGAACTTATAACATATGCCAATGAAGCAAATTTTCTTTTTTTAATTAGTGGAAAGAGCTGTACTTTATGATTTAGGGTCATTACCTAGATCCCATCACTTTTTTCTTCTTACTTGGTAACTCACCCTCTTGGCACTACTCCAATACTCTAGTAATAATATTTATAAGGTTATTTTTACCTGCAATACCTCCTGGTATCAGCACTATCATGCTATTTAGTATTGAGCCTGCCCAGTATAACCCAAATGCCCGATAACTTTGCCTTAAAAGAAAGGAAAGAATCATTTTTGCCATTCTGTAAAAATAACTTCATTCTGAGAAAATTACACAACATACCTTTAAATAACAAAATTAATCCGGTAAGAAAATAAAGTTGTACCATCTCATAAGACATTTGGATAGTTAAGTTATGCACTGCTTTAAGTAGACAATTCAACTACCGAAAATATATTTTTATACAGGATATTAAAACTTACCGCTGACAGTAAAGTGAAATAATTGCTAAACCAAGAATGAAATGCACTATTCCATCCCAGTAGCTTATAACTGCTCCATGAGCTGTATTCAGGTATGGTTCACCCTCAATGAAATAAAAGCCCATAAAATTGGATATAAAGCCATCCAACTCCAGTCCAATACCAAGGTCTATCATACACGACCAGGAAAATACAGCAAGAACTATAAAGAAATAATATACATAAAATAAATTTGGTTATAAAATACACAATCTATTTTTGGCAAAAATTTATTTCTTGCTAAGGTGTAAGTTTGATTTACAGCTTGTGACACCGGTGTTCTGGAATTAAATTTCACCTCAATAGGTGTATTTGTTTATTTTTAACTTAATTAAGCTAGTTCAGTTCCTCTTTCACTCACACAATAATGTGGAAGAATTACATTTGCAACTTAATATTATAAACAGGAGCATAACACAGACTCAATTAATGATTATAATGTTATAGTTATAATGTATCTAGTTTGATTATAATGTTATAGTCATAATGCCTCTAATTTGGTGAGTGGAGACAATTTTTAGGGGCAGGTGATGTGCATTGACATAAAAACATTTTAAGGAGCTGAGAGGAAAGATGTTTGACACTTGGTTTGTTAAGTATGCAACCAGCCTCATTAAGTGTCATGTAATTAAATAAAAAATATGAATTATAATTTCATAATCCACCACAGGGAACATAAATGTTTGTTGCAACAAAAAAAGGTGTGTGTGAGGGGAGGGGTTTTAAATAGCAAGTTAGACAGATAGTCTGAGTAAATGGGATATGTCAATTTTTTTTTAATGAAGTGTGGGGGGAGGTGGTAGGCATGGATATTTAAAATAAATATAAGTCAAGTGGAAGCTCTTCCCCATTTTGACATTACAGTAGATGGCATTGAATAAAGCAACATCACATCTCTATAAAACTATATAATATAATATAAAACAGAAAATATACAGAACATAGGGTTCCATTATTAAAGAGAATTCTTTGAAATGTTAAAGATTTTATAATAATTAATTTAGAATATAGTCTTAGCGTGCTACCATCATACAGAATAATATTACCCTTGCACACTAACCTTAACCTATCATTAGTCCTTTTATTAAATTATGCTTAGGGCTTAACTAATGCCATTGCCATTTACTTTTACATGAAATAATTTTTAATGCCTCAAATTAGATTAGTTTCAAATCATTACGTTTTGTAACTTTTTAATATTTATCTTGTTAACTTACTTAAAACAAACGGATCAACCTGATTGAAAAGTCTTCTAAATAAAAGGTAAGGCACGATGGTCACTAAACTCAATGTGATGACTCCTGCAATAAATACTGTAATTTGATCTTGCATCAAATTCAGTTTGCTGAGCGTGAAAGAAACAATCCATGAAGTCTGAGCTAGCAAAAATATGTAAAAAGGCACTGAATACTTCATTTTTAAAAATATACTTTTGTTAGTTCAACTTAACCAGGATATTTTTTTTATGATATAAGAAACTGGACTTTGCAGCTAGAACAAGAACGTCTAGAGTTAACGCCCACTAGCGTCCATAGAAATGGAAACGATCCACCTATTTACCGGGAATCACAAATAAACGCCACTGAATATTCTTATTCTTCATATGTCCTATTTTACCTGTGAGGCATGGCGGGGATCCGTCTTTAGCCGTGAGATCTGCTGAAGGTTCATGTTGTGGACTTTGAGGGTGTCCTTAAGATAGTTGGTCTTTCGCTGTCATCTTTCCATGTAGCCTTTAAAAAATTATATACATAATAAAGCATTCAAAATTACGAGTATATTTTCGATAACAAAAGAGTAACAAATTGTATTCATTTCAGTATTTTAATTTATTTACAAAATATTGAACACAGATTTATATGTAGACCTATTTAAGAACTATATGCAATATAAGTTTCTTTAATAGTGCCTATGGGTGTCGCGAAATAGTTGAAACATTTTTTAAAGTTTGATCTGAAAGCTTCCGTGAAGTTGACAGCCACATTTTTTAAATTTTAAGTACCTGGTTACGATAACCAGGGCCGTGCCGAGGAAGAGCAGTGCCCGGTGAGGAGCTGAGAATGATGCCCCTTATTATATAGGGGGGAAAAATGTTACCTGGGATTGTCCAGTGAAAAGAGGATTTTGGCAACCCTGAGTCTTTGTGAATTTTATTTTTATTATTTGGGATTGTATCGTTTCATGTATATTTACGTACTTGTGTAAAGACGATTTTAACGCCTCTATGTTGGCGTCCGGGTCGAGTGCACCCCCCCCCCCCTGCACGACCCTGACGATAACATCTATATACATTTATCTGAAGGCACCTACAAAGAAATCCGTTTTTGTGTAAAGACGATTTTAACCCCCCCATGGTGGGGTCCGGGTCGAGTGCACCCCCCCCCCCCCTGCACGACCCTGACGATAACATCTATATACATTTATCTGAAGGCACCTACAAAGAAATCCGTTCGAGCCGATCAAGTAAACTGCCCTCGTCCGGTTAATAAAAGCGATGTTAAGGGTAATCTGCTGTTCACAACGAGACACACACAAATGTGTACACTGTACACCAGGGATACTCAAGCGTTTTGGTTCGAAGGCCAGATTTTAGTTTTGGACATTACCAAAGGGCCACACCCTCAGCGAGGAATGTCAAATATTCCGCCTGGTCTAATCAATTCCGATGGCAACTATTCCGATGTCTAATATGGTCCGATGGCAACTATTCCGTCTAACCTTGTGTCAGACTAGTTTGTTTCGGATCTCGTCTCGCACTTGGTCGTAACTCAAATGCTGCATAGTGCATTTCACTGTACTAACATCCACTAATTAGTACACAATGAAGTTGCTACATAATTACATCTAGCTGAAAATATTACCGTCCAGCAAACAAACAAAAAATACAGCGAATCTCTTCAATTCAAAATATTATCTCTGCCTGTCTGCTCACTCGCTCAAGTCGTTCTCTCCCCTTTTACCCTCAAAGCCGCGCACACGTACTTGATATGACAAGAGTTCACTCTCGTTCCTTAACCCAATAATTGTCACCCATCACAATGCACACAATATATCTGATTCCATGATCTTGACAAGGAACAATCTGATAATCCAGCTTTGACTTAATCCCTACGCTTCAACCGCCGAAATCGCCTTAGTATCTATAAGGCACCCTTTTTTTAATTATAAATTCCATGTAAAATATGCATTGCAATTTTGCGTAATAAATGTTTTTTGATTAGGTTGTTTCTTGTTTGTTTCTCGGAACCAACAGAAATTATTAATTTTAATACTGCACTGAAATGTAAACATGTTTGTTCACTATCATTATTAAAATAAATGTAGTGTACATTTTTATACCATCATTGCTGAGAACTGTACGTGTGAGAAATGAAACCGAATTTTATTACTCAAAATGGCCAGGTAGCCTGATGAGTGTGAGGTCAACGCAACTCAAATTGAGGTCTTCAGATGTTTGTCAGTGATGACATTGTGATCCAAGCATTGTCAAGACTTTGCCTGTTATTCTCCTGATGGTTGGTTACTAATTCTACAACAGACTGCATCAGAAGACTGCTACGTCCTGGGGTCACGAAGCTTCAGTTTCAGAATTCATTTCCCTGCATCAACTACTTGAGCGACTTCACTAATGTTGGACAAGGTGGATGCGGCAGCATTATCCGATCCCTATTAAGACGGATAATAAATGAATCACCAATGAAAAAATAAACGGAAGTCCATAAAAATCTTTAAATCGGGTTGAAAACTGGAAATCTATGATGAAACAACTACTCGCTTGAGTCCTAATGACTATGAAATGGTGAAAGTTTCTGGTGAAAAGAATGACAGTTCTGTTGAAACTCCATGGCACTCTGTTTCTTACCCTGAAGTGAAATACTAAGCTCATTAAGGTAGCCATTTATGGCTACTAAAAGAGTAACAGTTGCCATAATGGGAAAAACTCCACCAACTCCCCTATCACCTTTGGGAAAAGCTCCACCAACTCTCCTGCCATCTTTGTCCCAAACTCCACCAACACATCTACCACCTTTGAGCCAAACTCCACAATCTCCCACTTCGATCTTTGTGCAAAACTCCACAACTGCCCTACCATCTTTGTGCAAGACTCCCTTAAAATCCTTGTGCACAGTTCCACAAACTCCCTTGCCACTTTGTACAAAACTTCATTGCCATCTTTATGCAAAACTCCACAACCCCCCTACCATCTTTATGCAAAACTCTACCCAATCCCCTACCATCTTTGTACAAAACTCCACCAACTCCCCTGCCCTCTTTATGCAAAACTCCACCAACTCCCCTACTATCTTTGTACAAAACTCCACCAACTCCCCTGCCATCTTTATGCAAAACTCCACAACCCCCCTACCATCTTTATGCAAAACTCCACCAACTCCCCTACCATCTTTGTACAAAACTCCACCAACTCCCCTGCCCTCTTTATGCAAAACTCCACCAACTCCCCTGCCATCTTTGACTTAATATTTTTTGAAGAATTCGTTCACATTCTCCCGGAGTCTCCAAAACCGCTTCAAAGCTCTTCATTTGCTTGACAGTTTCATCTCATAGAAATAGAATTGAGTGAAAAGCAAGTTTCTATGTTCTGCAAAATACTCATCTAAGAAAATAAATGATGCTCCAATCATGAATAAACTGCATTCTTTTGGAATGTGTAAGTACCCTGACTGTTGGACTGACTTGAGCATATTTACTTCTCAGTTTGAGCACAAAACTAACTGATAAATGATGCAGTTATACATATATTATATATATGCAGTAGAAATGGCGTGAACAGCATATGCCTCTTTATGTTGCCTGACAAAGGCATCCGACTTGGTAAGTCGGAGAGACCTTTTTAGTATCTTGCAAAGAATAGGTTGTCCCCAACGACTACTCACAATAATACAGTCATTTCACAAAAACATCCACAGCACAGTAACTTTCAATGGCGCTGTCTCTGAGTCATTCCTAGTCAGCAGTGGGAGTAAAACAGGTTTGTGTACTGGCACCAACGCTCTTCTCCATTTCCTTCTCAATGTTTTTCAGGGACTGTGAAGATGGAGTATACATCCATCCCAGAGATCTGATTGTAGGCTGTTCAATATCGCCCGCCTTCGTGCAAAGACCAAAGTAAAAAAGGTGCTGTTCGCTGACGATGCCGCCTTAACATCTCACACAGAAGAAGGTCTGCAGGGGCTGGTTAATCGCCTATCACACGCTTGTAAAGAGTTTAGACTTTCGATTAGTTTACAGAAAACACATGTAATGATGCAAGAAGCACCGTCCCCTCCAATCATATCTATTGAGTTTCATTATCTTTCAGTTGTTGATCATTTCACATACCTGGAATCCAATATTTCTAGTTTCTCTCCATTGATGAAGAGATAAATATCAGGATTGCAAAAGCAGCAGCAACTATGGCTAAACTGATTAAGCGGGCGTGGAATAATCTAACCGATAAAACAAAAATAAGTGTATATCAGGCATGTGTGCTTAGTAATAATAATAATAAAGTTTATTTGAAAAATACGCTCCTATATGGCGGCGAAGTGTGGACCACATGTACCAGTCATGAGCGGAAACTCAAACAGCTTCCATCAAAGATGTCTGCGTCACATTTTAAGCGTTCGATGGCAGGACAGGGTGCCTAACGCGGAGGTCTTGGAACGTGCACACGTCATGTTTAGCATATTTTCCTTTCTTAGCAATGGGGTTCTTCACTGGTTAGGTCATGTTAATCTTAATTAACTATTGATTATTGTCTTATTAAGAGGGAGATAAAGTACGTATGACTGACGATTATTGTGTATTGAGTGAGCTTAGTGACCTGTGTTGTAGTCATGTTGTATGACTGGACGTAGTGAGTTGTTTTCTTGAATGTTTAAACTTAAATGGGTGAATATTGGTTGGAGAAATGGAGTGAGTAATCATGCGATGTGAGGTAAAAAAGAATGTAGAATAAAGATTAGCTGTTACACTTACACAGACGACAGACCACATACGAGTTGGGGGTCATATTTTACTATTACACTTTCCACATTTCGGGTTTATTTTTTGTGGTTCCGTTAAAATAAAATATCTGAGGCTCATGCAACTGTTGCAAGGTCCAAGCCGGCAGCTCTGCAAAGAAAAATCCTTAAAATTTTTTTTTTTTTAAAGTTACATTAGATCCTCTCATATCGACATCCGAAGTAGTCTAATAGGTTCAGAGTCCACGGGGGACTTCATTGCTAGAATATGAGTCCACCAGACATGAGAAAGGACAATGGAATGGTAGAAATGAGCAGGCCACTAGACGTGAGAAGGGACAATTGAATGCTAGACAATGAGCAGACAACCAGACATGAGAAGGGACTATTGAATGATAGACAATGAGCAGACCATCAGGCATGAGAAGGGACTATTTAATGCTAGACAATGAGCAGACCACCAGACATGAGAAGGAACTATTGAATGGTAGACAATGAGCAGACTACCAGACACGAGAAGGGACTATTGAATGCTAGACAATGAGCAGACCACCAGACATGAGATGAGACTATTGAATGCTAGACAATGAGCAGACTACCAGACATGAGAAGGGACTATTGAATGGTAGACAATGAGCAGACCACCAGACATGAGAAGGAACTATTGAATGGTAGACAATGAGCAGACCACCAGATATGAGAAGGGACTATTGAATGCTAGACAATGAGCAGACCACCAGACATGAGATGAGACTATTGAATGCTAGACAATGAGCAGACTACCTGACACAAGAAGGGACTATTGAATGGTAGACAATGAGCAGACCACCAGACATGAGATGAGACTATTGAATGCTAGACAATGAGCAGACTACCTGACACGAGAAGGGACTATTGAATGGTAGACAATGAGCAGACCACCAGACATGAGATGAGACTATTGAATGCTAGACAATGAGCAGAATACCAGACACGAGAAGGGACTATTGAATGGTAGACAATGAGCAGACCACCAGACATAATAATAATAATAAAGTTCATTTAAAAAACACGCTTCATCCCCAAAGGCTCGAAGCGCGGTACAAAGTCAACAAAAAACATATCTATAATTCACCACATTTAAAACAAACACAACACTACAAAAACTAATTACAAGCATACAATATCAAAGTCTTTCTAGCCATTTCAACCCGAAGCAACACAGCAACACATGGAAAATAAGGTAGACAATCATCCCAGAAGGTATTTGCGAAATAGATGTGTCTTTAGATCTGTTTTAAAGGACTCCAGTGTCTGGTTGTTTCTAAGATCGACAGGAAGGGCGTTCCAAATTGTTGGACCAGCAAATGCGAAAGTGCGCTTTCCGTAAGTCTCAAGGCAAACACGTGGTGTCGAGAGTTTGCCACTATCGGATGAGCGGAGCTCTCTACTGGGTACATAAGGCGTCAGCAGCTCTTTCAGATAGGACGGCGCCAGGTCATGTAAGCAGCGGTAGCACAAAGTTGCGATTTTGTACTCTATGCGAGCACGCACCGGCAGCCAATGCAACTCTCTCAGAAGTGTTTTTGCATGGTCGAATTTGCGTTTGCGGAGAACTATGCGAGCCGCATTATTCTGTGCTATTTGAATTTTATCCAGGAGCGTAGCTGGAAGACCCACCATGAGAGCATTGCAATAGTCCATGCGTGATAGCACAAATGCAGACATCAGCAGACATGAGATGAGACTATTGAATGGTAGACAATGAGCAGACCACCATACATGAGAAGGGACTATTGAATGGTAGACAATGAGCAGACCACCAGACATGAGAAGGGACTATTGAATGGTAAACAATGAGCAGGCCACCAGACATGAGAAGGGACTATTGAATGGTAAACAATGAGCAGACCACCAGACATGAGAAGGAACTATTGAATGGTAGACAATGAGCAGACTACCAGACACGAGAAGGGACTATTGAATGCTAGACAATGAGCAGACCACCAGACATGAGATGAGACTATTGAATGCTAGACAATGAGCAGACCACCAGACATGAGAAGGGACTATTGAATGGTAGACAATGAGCAGACCACCAGACATGAGATGGGACTATTGAATGATAGACAATGAGCAGACCACCAGACATGAGAAGGGACTATTGAATGGTAGACAATGAGCAGACCACCAGACATGAGATGCGACTATTGAATGGTATACAATGAGCAGACCACCAGACATGAGATGGGAGTATTGAATGGTAGACAATGAGCAGACCACCAGACATGAGATGGGACTATTGAATGGTAGACAATGAGCAGACCACCAGACATGAGAAGGAACTATTGAATGGTAGACAATGAGCAGACCACCAGACATGAGATGGGATTATTGAATGGTAGACAATGAGCAGACCACCAGACATGAGAAGGAACTATTGAATGCTAGACAATGAGCAGACCACCAGACACGAGAAGGGTCTATTGAATGGTAGACAATGAGTATCACATCTAAAACTGCAACACAAATGACTATGGGTTAAGCTTATTGAAAATGCTTTCTATTCCAGGGTAGGCAAAAAGCTAAGGGATGAGAAATCATAACTCAACCCCCAAAGAAACATTCAGCGGGGAAACGCAAAATCACCTCAAATGCCACTAGGACTTCGAAGCATGTGTCCCTCAATGCAACAATAGGACCCACAAGCCACTTTCTAGTTTAGCCTTGGTCATCTTTGAATGCCAAGGACAATGAACGTCATATGGGGCCAAATATTTTTTTATAGCGATAGTTAATGTTTCCATAAGAGAATTTGACGAAATGCTTTATTTAGCAGTTACAAATACAATATCCAAAGACAACATATTGGATCAGGGTAATGTATCAAGGACTGTGTTCATGCTGTGTGACGTACATCAATGGAACAAGATATGTTCAACACAGGACAATTGAAGGACGTTTTGCCTAAATGCCTTCATCAGCATCCATCCATCCATCCCTGTGGCGCTACAGCCCATGTAGGGCTTTGGCCTGCCTCACCACTTCCTTCCACTCAGACCTAACTAATGCCTTTCTTTTCCATGCATGGACTTTCAGCTGCTGTAGATCTTTTTCCACATCAGCCCTCAATACAAAACAAAAAACAACAGATACTTTAGGGCCCTGTTTCCCAAGGTGATGCCCCCATAGGGGGGCAATTTGAAAAAAAATGAGCTGTAGATTTTGAAAACCAACCATATACTATGATTTACCTTGTATTTTAAAAGGAGAATCGTTTTCACAATTTGAAATAAGCCTTCATTAAAAGTGTTGTAAAAATCATTTAAGTTTCTTAAGAGAATAACCCTATTTTTGAGCATTAAAAATTATGTATATGATACATGGAGGGCAGAATCATTTTAGAAATGCTTTGGTGGGGCATGGCACAGAAAAGGTTGGGAAACACTGATTTAGGGTGTACACTAGATTCTTTTTAAGAACATTTGTCTGATTCCTTTCTTATGGACTGAGTGAGCAGCACGGTCGAGTGCTTCTACTTCACTATAGATATCAGAGCACAGGTTTCCAACCTTTTTTGGGTCGCAACCCCATTTTGCAGGTCAACCTGCATCACCATTTTTATAGAAGCAAGCCACCATGATAAATTGAAAAAAAATTAAACTTCAAAATATTCAAACTTTATTAAAACACAGATTACAAATGAAAATTTCTTAAAATTTACCGCTGCAGCCGGCGAATTTCAAGAAAACCCTCCACAACCCGGTAGTTGCAACCCATGGCTTGGGAGTCGGGGGTTCGGAGTGTGGCAACAGAAACAATATTTACACAATGAAGATTAAAGACGTCTGCCACGGGTTAAGATGAAGTCAAGAAATAAACATCAACCAAACTTTTGTTCAGTATTTTTATCTTTATTTGAGTAGCATCAAGCCAAAGGTCACCTGCCAAAGGCCACCCGCCCAAATGGCCACTGGATCTGAACGATTTGATCATATTTTAAAAAAGCAATGCATTACAAATCTTGTGCGGAGTAACATTAAAACTTAAATTGTCTTAATGAAATAAAGTATTTCATTGCTTAGAGAAATGTTTTCCATCAAATATAAACTGTGTAAAAATAGAATTATTCTTTATTGTCACATATATTTATCAAACTGTAGGCTCTCTCAACAGTCGTATAGAAGCAAAGCTTATCTTTTTGTTGTGCAATTCATGATTTCATTAACTGTACATCTTAGGTCTGGAAAAAAATTAATGCTTGTAAAACAACATCTAGATATAATCATCTCTGTACATCGTATCTCTTAAAGTCGTGTCTGTGTGTCTTGTGTCTAGATAAAGTCATGTGTCAAAATAAATTCATGTGTCTAGATAAATTCATGTGTCTAGATTAAGTCATTTGTCTAGATTAAGTCATGTGTCTAGATAAAGTCATGACTATATTTCTTGTTCCCACCATAGCTAACAAGATGTCCATTAACGAGGCACTGTATCACCCACTCTGAAGATACTAATGGAACGTCCAGACTTTTGCATTTCTGGACAATGTTAACAGGACATGTAGTATCAGAAACACACACATCCACACCTGGGTCATCTGAAGGAAAATAAAAAATCAAGTGTATAGAAACTTAGAGAAAACGAATTCATTTGAAGATAAAAATACTAGCTCAAGTAGTAAATATAGCGCAAACTAAAATGTACTACATTAGTAGTTAAAATGTACCACATCAGTATTTAAAATGTACTATAATGGTAGTTAAAAGTAAAATGTACTAGATTGGTAGTTTAAAGGCAGCGTGACAACAATTAAAAGTTGTCAGGTGGACGACTGGTGAAAGAAATTTCCAATGTGTAAGGAGATTTTGTACAATTTGTCAGTGATTTTTATTTAATTTAAGTTTTAAAATTTTATGATGCTAACCAACTGGCAGCGTTGAATTCTGAAATGCTGAACCTAAATTAATAGATACAACAAACTTAAACAATTATCACCAAATTACTGAAATAAAAACGTTTGCTGATCTCGCCCGACACCCATAAATGCGGACTGAGAGACCAGTGTTAATAAACATACAAACTGATATCATAATAAAAAGATTGATTGGTAAAATGAACACAAACACCTTATATTTTTGGTATTCAAAAGCATTCCATGTATCATAATAAAAAAAGATTGCTTGCATGTAAAAATAAATGATTGCTGATCTAAATATTAATAAAAATAACAAACAGCTTATTAACTGTTTCAGCTGTTCACATTTTTGTCTTCAGGACATTTTATTTTTTGGAGTCTGTGTACATTAGTACATGGTTTCAATGCCAGGATCTAGGCATGTGGGAGGACTTGACATTAATGTTGAAATAAAAGAGAGTTCATGTGGCAAGGCTAGAAGACACTGAGATGACTCTATTAGAGAAACTACCAGGTCAGAACACAGAAGATTTAAAGAAAACCATTGAAATATTGATTTGTGTACGTGTTGTGCAGCTTACGTTTGCTCGCGGATGCCGGAAATTTTGTGATGACACGGCAACCTGCAGTTGTAAGGATGGACTTCCAGGCAACAGAAAACTCTTCGTTTTTTGAAACAACCATCGCTGTAAGCTTTGCTAACTCTGCACAGCCTTTTGTCCTGGGAAAGTTTGGACAAAAATACAACAACAAAAAAAAAAAAAGATTAACAGTGTGATAGGAGAGGTAGAATAAAAAAAATTAACAGGAGAAATAAGTCATTTAAAGGTTATAAATTTCACAAATACTTCTTTAAAATTGTAATGATGAATAATAAAATGTCTTACACTTCCATTATTTTCCTCTTCTCCAGGCTGATTCCTGCTGGTAACAAGTAAGATGTTAATGTCTGTAGCGAGTTCTGCAATTTATGAAAAGATTGAGAGAAAAATGTCAACTTCAATGAATGCTAATAGTGGTGTTTAAAGTTTCGAACCTTACATGCTCATGTCTTTGAAAAAGCATATGATGATCAGAGAAGCAGGCCACTATGGAGTGAAGCTTAGTTGATTAGAAATAAATGTTTTTTTAGTGGGAGGGGGTTATTATACTATCATTGAGTAATATGGGTACGACTGCGTTCAGGTAATATCAAATATAACATAAAGAGTAGGGGAAAACCTGAAAGATCACACAACTAAACAACAAACGTTGCCACTACAATGTCTTACCCTATTCCGTATGTTATATTTCATGTTATATCTTCATTGGTGTAATTGGCTTATTTGAAATTCTGGTAGTGAGAATCTAGCGATATAAGGTCAGAGTAGAGTGTGTTGTAGTAGTCAAATGTAGGATTAACTGCATTTAGCTGAGAGTTGTGTGATAAATTAGTGGGCAATAAACTAATTTCTAATATGAACATTTACAAAGCAAGAGTGTATAAAAAGTTGAGAGCCAACTCCAATATTAACAGCAACTCTTATTTTAATATGCTAACATCTAAATTTTCAAATATCATCTAAATTTCCTAACCATCAGTTGCATAGCCGGGGTTAGTACCACCTAGGGCCAAGCTCTTTCCCGTTAGTCCTTCTATTAAAAACACCTAAAGTTGGCTGAAAACGTCATCCATCAATAGAGGGAAAAAACGTACCGCCTCCATCTGGATCAAATACTTTACTCAACAAAATGTACCTTTTATTGAAAATGATTGGTGTCATTTTGTAACATCCTGTTGTATCAAGTGTGATTTTTCTAGCGTAACTTTGAAATCTTCTCAAAGAAGTTTTATACATGTGGTCGTTACGTAAGAGACTTGAATACCTTCTCCACTGAATGTAGAATCCATAGATGAGAGACAATAGTCAGCCCAGCAGCCAATGCTTTCAAGTACTTGACAGTTCTTTGGTGTTCAGCTGCCACCAAGTACACATTTTTTATACTGCCACGCTGAAATGGACAACAAAAGGGAGATTATTTGTGTTAATTCCCTTCTTCCTCTTCAGGCCCTTATAAAAATGAGCTCCAGATGCGCAAACTGAATTCCCGTTTTATAGCAACAGGCGCATCTCTTCCTCAAATAAATGTCAATATGGCAAGGAATAAAAAAAATTAATAAATTCAATTATTTACATTGCAGGACTTACTTTTACATCATCCAATGTTTGTAATACTTTTCCTCCTCCTCGTTCAATCGATGTTTGGATATGCTCTTTGATAAACAGAGGACAATTATTATCTGTGATCAAAACAGTGGTCATCACATCACATCAAACATATCAGTCAAATAAAAAATACTGGAAAATTTCCCCCAGATATCTTTAAGAAAGTCTAAAATAAGTGTTTGACATTATGTTAAGTTATTAAAAAAACAACAATTGTTTAAAGCAGAGGTCTCCAAACTACGGCCTGCGGGCCCCATGCGGCCCGTGAGACCCTTTCATGCGGCCCGCGGAGACCTTTTTGTCTACAGAAAAAAATTACGGAAATGTACATGTATCCTGCCAAGATCAGATGCCACTTACGTGGATGTTATGTTTTTACCTAATTAAAATAGAGGCGAACTGTTGTGCGTTATGTTTTCTAACCGATCATTACTTTGCAAAACCTTATTCTCTGTTTAGTTTTTCTACTTCCGTTTAACCGTCAATGAAATGAGAATATATAACGTCATCTAGTGGTGGAGCTTTGCCCGCTGTGTTGTCGACATGGGTGAAAACATTTTGACTAAAATAGTGAAAAATGCAAGCAAGTATCGCCAATTTTTCATTGCGATGGATGAATCCCTGGACAGCTGTTCCACCTCTCAACTGCTTGCGTTCGTTAGGGGGGTGTGGATGAAGACATGAACATAACACAAGAGCTGGCTTTCCAAATAGCATGTGCGGAACTGTTACTGATGAGTTGAAAAAAACATTTGCTGATTATAACTTGGACTGGACTAACCTCAGTTGCCTGACTGTTGACGGAGGAAATAACATGAGCGGCATAAAGAAAGGCTTGGTTGGACAAGTGAAGCAGATGTTTAATGAGAAAAAAATTCTGCAAACAATGTTCCTGCACTGTTATTATTCACCAGAAAGCTTTGTGTGCTAAATGTGTGGACATTAGCAGTGTGCTGAATCCTGCGGTGAAGAGGGTTAATTTAATACGGTCACATGGGCTCAACCATAGACAGTTCAGAGACCTGTTGAAAGATACTGACACAGAATCGCAAAATGTACCATATTACACAGCAATAAGATGGCTAAGTTGTGAGAAAGTTCTGAGCAGAGTATTTAAGTTAAGAAAGGAAATGGGTGACTTCCTGGAGAGTAAAGGCAAGCCACAGGCATTACTGTCTGATGAAGAGTGGGTATGGAGAATGGCCTTTGCTGCAGACATAACTAGTAATTTAAATTTTCTTAACTACAAGGAGAGGAAAATCTAGTTTCTGATCTATACACCCACCTAAAGGCCTTCTGATACAAATTTGTCTTGTTTTTTTGGAACAAGTACAGGCTAACAACTTGACGCACTTTCAGCCATGGACGGTCTTCATGTCTGAAGCAACAGTGCAGTTCCCCACGTCATTTCCATGCGAGATCATCAAAGAACCCCAGCTGCAGTTTCAGCAGCGGTTTTCTGACTTCGATTCAAAGGCAGAAGTGAGACTGTTTCAAAAACCTTTGAAGCAGATGTGGCCAGTTGCCCAGATGAACTGCACATGGAGGTCGGTGAGTTGCATGCAAATGACCTCCTTAGGGACAAGCTCAAAGAAGGACTGGTGGGTTTTTACCAGTTTTTGCAAAAGGAAGACTTCCCTAATTTGAAAACTTTTGCATCAAGGTACATTTCAATCTTTGGAACAACATACCTGCGTGAACAAACATTTTCAAGAACGAAATACGTGGAGAACAATTTGAGAATAAATTTGTCCGATGATAATCTCAGGTCACTGTTGATGATAGGGACATCAAATCTAAATCCAGAAATGTCTGCTAATCACTGCAATTTTGGCATCCAGGAAACAATTTCACCATTCCCACTAATACAGGTGTTCATGTGTAGTGTATCAATGTGTTATTAAATAATAACTGAATGAAATAATATAACATCAATAATTAAAAACAACATTCATGTATTGATTCTATTTTATTCGGACCTCGGGTGTGTAGTCGGCCCCCGAACTGCTGTTTGATAGTTAATGCTGCCCTTGGGCTGAAAAGTTTGGAGACCCCTGGTTTAAAGCAACTCCGGCCTCCTTGTGGTTGCTGGGCAAGAAAATCAACAAACTGCATTTATTAGGCATTGGGTTGTTAAACAATCTCTTATATATTTTGCTTGTGGTGTGGCTGCTTCCTTTTCACAACCGGCCCTCCCACTACTCATCATGTTTTATATTAATACTACCGAGACAAAACAAAAAAGCTGTTAAGCAGCGAGCCTCATGATGGGTGACGGGTGAACCCAGAGTAAGAAGGTTGAATTTTTATTGAAAAAACTATTATATTCATAAATAAAGAGCCACGGGTATGGAAAAGGATTGTCAGTAGGACTATTGTTTAAATTCCGGTAGGTAGGGTGTAAGACTGTAGGACTATTGTTTAAAGGCCAGCATATTTTATCGAAAATGAGAAGTTAACTTTTTTGTTTCCATCTTCTCAAAATACCCGTACTTGGTGTAAAAAAAATGTCCCCCCCCCCCCCCATATTAAGCTCTAGTAGTTAACATTAGTGTTAATTGGAGGATTGTAGATGTTAACGGGATTGACCAAAGACTGACCAATGTCTGCGTTCTCATCTGTTGATGTATCCAAAGAGGAATCTTCTAAGACTTGCTTCTCTTCTCGTCTGCTCTGTGCATCTTTCTCAATGTGCGTTAAAATGAACATCATTCCTTCAAACAGCTTGCTTTGGCTTTTAGAAGTTTGTTCAAATAATCCTGCAAGATGAAAAAAGCGTCAAGAGTGAATTGGTGAAGACGTGGATTTTTGGTTGAAATGTGTTGCCTCTCAATTTCAGTGAAAAAATGAAACATAGTGGATCCCAGCTTAAACGCGATAATTTGGGCTCAATAAAATCAGATGGCAATAATAGCGTCAATTCGGTTATTTGTGCAAAAAGTATTGGGATTTTCAAAAATTAGGAACATGAGTTATTTTGTTTTAAATTATAGGTTTTTTCACTCTTGTTGTTAGCGTGCCAAGTGGTGTTTGGAGTTGTACTGGTCTTAGTGGATTTTTTATTGTGTCACACAAGATTATATACATTTTAGTAATCATTTTTCCCATGCATGAAAATGGTAAATGGAAGAATTCAGTTTTATTATCAATAAAGAAATATTCTGTAAAAATTTAAAAAAAAAATAAATCAGTCAATCAAACAGTTGCACGTGTCCAGCCAAAACAACTAGCACTGGAGCTTACACCACCAAGGGGGTTAAACATTTGATACTTTATTGAGAGAAGCATTCATGTTGCAGCGTGTAATTCATTTACCTTTACCAGCACGCCTTGTAGTTTTACGCACTTCAGATGGGGACATCACAGCACTCCCTAATGGACTATATACCTTTTTTGTAGGTGTGTCTGGAAAAAAAATAATGAATGGCCACATTTTTTAATGCAGTGAAAAAAAAATGAGATAAAAACTCCTTATTAAGACCTAGACCTGGATGACCTTTAGTTTGAAATATTTTATCTTTAAACATTTCTAGTTTGGAAACTTCAGATAGAATAACTCTAGTTTGGAATGCTTCATCTAAATCATCCAAAATTTATTACAGTACATCTAAAATTAGGGGGCCTCCTCTTTTTTTTTTTCATTTGGGAAGAGTGAATAATTTTTTGGAAGACCTCATGAAAAAAAAATATCCTGTTATAAAAAAAACTCATGTAACTCATAAAATTAAAATTAATTCTAATGTTATTTTAATTATTGGATGATTGCTTCATTAAAGGCTGTTCAAGATAAGAATATTGTTTGCACACTTTCTTGTACTTTACGGCACAACTGTTTTGGAGTTGGTGTGCTTGTTGCCACGGGTCCGAGTTTCCGCTTCCTTCCGCTGCGTGTGACTTCACTTTCCGTCTTAGCCAACTGAGGGTCTGATGTAGCGGCAGTCTGAAGGCCTGAAGTAGACGGTTTCTCCAGTGAGGAGGTTCTGTTCAATCTTGATGCTCTTTTCCCGTCTACCAAATTATCTTGCAATGAAAATTTAATAATTTTCATAATCAAACATTGGATTTTTGAAACCATGGTTATATAAATTTGAATGAGCCAAACAGTTGTAGAAACTTAAAGGAGATACAAATATAACAAATGTAAATCTGATACGTACCTTAATGTAAAGGTGCCATTGATCATTTCTTAAATTATTTGTATTACGTCAAGTAAAAAATTAATATTCTCATATATGTCCCCTACCCGCCCACTGTCACTAAATTTACCTTACACTGAATATTTTCAGCCAACCCACATCTTTATGTATAAAAGATACAAACATTGCCCCCACCACCTTTTTTAAACACATCTGTTTTATTTTTCAGAATTTGTCAAAGTTCACAATTTATTAACTCTAATTCCCCTATAAATCAATGGACTCACATAAAAACAATTACATTTTAAAAGCTAAATAAATGAACATTTAGATTATTCATTTGTGAAAAAAAAAAAAAAAATTGCTTACAAATGTTTAGTTAGTATTTGTTTTTAAATCACAAACTTAGCCTGTTTAGATACCCTGGTCAAGTACATATCTCAATACAAGCTGAGTTTGTCAGTCCCAGTAGTTTTGCTATCGAAGGCTCCTTGGTTACAGCGTCCACTTTCTTGGTATTTCTTCAGGTTTTCCAATACCATGTGTACATTTCAGCCATGTGTATATTTCAGCCATGTGTACATTTCAAATTTCAGCAATGTGTAAATTTCAGAAGCTTTCCAGCAGATATTTTTAAGCTCTTACCTAGGGAAACATCTCCTGGATGGGGCTGGATGGGGGTTACCATATCAGAAGAGATGCTAAGCCCTTCAACACTACTAAGTAGACAAGCTGCCTGGTCGTCACTCAATATAAGGTTCTTTCTTTCACACCTGGGTAAAGAAATGATCAAATTATTGAATCGATTGAAGAGAAATACAATAAAAGACAAATATTTAGATTAAAATCACAGCGGTGCAGTTTTTTCTGTGTTAAGATATTCAATGAAATATACTCAAATTTATGTTGTATTAGTTATAAAAGATTGGTGAATTAGTGAAAAAATATTGCAGTCACTAATAAGGTAGTAAGTGACTTATATAAATACCTTATACATAGTCATAATAGATTTATCTCTTAAATTTCACCATTATCTCTCACCACATTTGTCCAATACTGATAGTCATGATACAGGGTTGTGCAAACTATGGCCCGGCAACTGATATTATGCGGCCCTTGAAGGCATTTAGAAATTTAAATAATTACTTTGTTTTTAAGTTATTTTGTTGAATTTTACAGAATTTCATGTACAGTTATAATTGTTTTAACATTTTCAATCAAATTTCTTTGTAATTTTTGTAAACAGTCCTTGACTTTTGTCATGTAATGCTAAAATGAGAATTTGCCAATTGTAATATAGAGAAATGTTTATCGACATGTAATAAATTGGACATAATATACATGCGGCCCCCCAATAGCATTACATTTGTCAATGTGGCCCTCGGCACAAAACGTTTTCCCACCCATCATAATAGATTTATCTCTTGCATTTCACCATCATCTCTCACCACATTTGTTCATTACTGAGAGTCATAATAGACTTACTTTTGCATCTCACCAGCATCTAACCACATTTGTACAGTATTGATAGTCATGATACACTTACCTTTGCATCTCACCGTCATCTCTCTCCACCAAATGTATGACATCCAGTTGAACACCATCAGTCTCTTGACCTTTGCTATGTGCCATTACCATACCAGGCTCATAAAAGCCACTAGGTGTAAGGACCATGACACTCTGTCCAACAGGCAGTGCTGCCGCTAAGATTATTTCATTTGGTTTCACTGAACATTGAGACCCATCATCAAACTTGACCAAGAATCTGAAAAAAATTATTATTTTTTTTTATTATTCCTTTACCAATTGTGTGCTTTTGAAACAAGCTGTCAAGATTGATTGCTGATATTAAGTTTACAAAATATGTATTATTACATTAAGAAATGGCGTCAGCGGGCCGTCAAGCTTGCGCTCTTTATGCTCTCCCCAATACACCCCTCCCTAACCCGGTATTGGGCCGCGGAGCGGTACGTTGGGGATGTCCCTTTGTTAGGACAGTCCCCACCTGAGTCTGCTCGACCAGGCTCTCCGCCGGGGGCCTTCCTAACCCAAAGACACCCAGTCGGTCCGACACTGTGTTTGCACACAGTGCACACGATCGACTTTCTCAGGCGTCGGGATGGAAAAATTTACGTCCTAATATCTTCCCCCACCCATCCCGGGGAAGCGTTCGACGCCCTATAAGAGGGATTCTACAGTGGGTTTCCACAACACAACTAATTCGCGACGCAGCTGGGACGAAACGGTTGCCTTGGAGCAGCTTCTCAGGGCTGCGTAGTAAAGAATCATCGGCCAGAGGTTACCACCTTTGCCTCATATCCATTAACGGCAACTTGTAATCAGGATCCCTACCCTGTCTCTGCCTATTGTTCCAGTTGGGAAATATCACAACTGGCAGCCCTGTAGGAGCTGTTTTATGTACGGCAGGTACCGAGCACATCCGTTGTCTGCCCACGCAGGACGCGCCCAGTAGTTGTGTTCCCCGGGTAACGTCGAGGGGGTCGGTGGCCGATGCCTTCTAATCGACAAGCCACCACAGACTTGTCAAACGGAGACCGGGAACACAAAATATGTATTAAATTGTTCCATTAGCACTCAATCCATATTTTTATTGTTTTTATACAAAACTTGTAATTCTAGGAAAAAACTAAGATGTAGTTATGAAACCTTATTAACATCATAATTGAATAAATATAAGCACAATTCATTTGGGTGATATATTTTTATGTACAGTAGCCTAAATTAGTATGGCTGATATATTTTTATGTACAGTAGCCTAAATTAGTATGGGTGATATAGTTTTATGTACAGTAGCCTAAATTAGTATGGGTGATATAGTTTTATGTACAGTAGCCTAAATTAGTATGGGTGATATAGTTTTATGTACAGTAGCCTAAATTAGTATGGGTGATATAGTTTTATGTACAGTAGCCTAAATTAGTATGGGTGATATAGTTTTATGTACAGTAGCCTAAATTAGTATGGGTGATATAGTTTTATGTACAGTAGCCTAAATTAGTATGGCTGATATAGTTTTATGTACAGTAGCCTAAATTAGTATGGGTGATATAGTTTTATGTACAGTAGCCTAAATTAGTATGGGTGATATAGTTTTATGTACAGTAGCCTAAATTAGTATGGCTGATATAGTTTTATGTACAGTAGCCTAAATTAGTATGGGTGATATAGTTTTATGTACAGTAGCCTAAATTAGTAATCTCGAAGAAACACATTGCATAGATTTGATTGTTAGGTTGAAGCAAATTTGAAAAAACAAAAATCAACAAAACACACTATATATTGAAATTATTTAGCAAAATTGATTCATCTTGATCTGTAATGTGTTTCTATTTTATTATCTGAAGTAATGGAAATAAAATTCCTTTCTGTTGTTCATCATAATGCATGTAATCTGCGTGGGCTTACATAATCATTTTCATGATTACTAAAATTCATAAATTTTTGAATACTAAAATTCATACATTTTTGAAAAAAGTTTTATGGACTTCGGAATTGCACCTTCGTGATAAATATTTTATTTAAAAAACCACACAGTTCAAAGTTTTAAATCGCTATCCAAAGTATTACTTATAATTACATAGCTCTGCATATAGAAATCATCTAAATGAAGGTGATACTTTAAATAATATGTAATATAGTTAAAGTTATACATTACAAGTTATAGTAGTGTATTGCAAACAATGAACATCATGTTACATTATTAAGAAAATAAACAAGCCTTTAAGTTTCTATCCTAGTTGAAAAGATTGAAACATATAAGACATACTTTTGCCTGCTATTGTCAATCTTGTTTAAAATTCCTGGGTAAAAAAATCCATCTTTCCATCTTCCCATAACTTTAGCACCTGAATATTGGAAAACAAAAATTATTATTATTATTTTTAAAAAATTAATTTAGATTTTTAGAATGTCCGTTTAATTGAAATTTTCTGTCCGATAGTTAGTAAGAAATGTAAAAACATTCTAATAAACTTTGATGAGACAGAGAAACTCAACTCACCTAGTTCTAATTTACTTCTGTAGTCCGTTAAAAGTAAAGTCTGATCTTTCACCATCACTTTTCCTTGAAAGGAAATTTCTAGGCTAAAAAAAAAAAAAAAATAAACCTGTTGTCAATGCTGATGAATCTTTAATTTAAAAATAATTTAACTTTTTCCGTTAAAAATAAAATCTGATCTTTCACCATCAATTTTCCTTGAAAGGAAATTTTTAGGCAAAAAAAAAAAAAAAAAAAATAAACCTGTTGTCAATGCTGATGAATCTTTAATTTAAAAATAATTTAACTTTGTTTTTATATCCTTGTCCCATTAAAACTTACACATAAAAATGTCAAGTGAAATCTGTGAAAGGCTTTTCAACAGTACGGCAAAATCGTTTTTAAAATGCAACAAAAATTCCAGGCACTTGGTAACCTTAAAGATTTTGCTTTTAATTTATAACATACAGATTGAATAAGAAACTTTGCAAGGTTACAAATTGTTGGCACAAGGTCACACATTGTTGGCCACAAGGTCACACATTGTTGGCCACAAGGTCACACATTGTTGGCCACAAGGTCACACATTGTTGGCACAAGGTCACACATTGTTGGCACAAGGTCACACATTGTTGGCCACATGTTATACCTGTACTTGCCAATTAGACCAAAAGTAAAGAAGGAAAGCACTTCAACTAACCTGACGGCACTGCTACTAGATTTGTTCTCTCCTCCTTAAAAACACATAAACAAAATAATAAAATGTTTGCATTGTCAGGAAACTTACATGTGCAAGCAACATTATTTATATCAAAACTTCTATTGCACATAAACATAATGGCTGCTCTAATGTGATTAATTTCTTTTGTTATCACTTTGTTATTAACCAAATTTGTGTCATAATATATCATTATAGGTACTAAACAACAGGTGACTCCGTAGCTAAAATAAAACATGTACTGCACACAAGGTGAATCCATAGTTAAACATAACACATACTAAACACCTGGTGAATCCATAGATGAACATAACATACGAATCACAGGAAGAATCAATAACTTAACATAACATGTACTAAAACAAAGGATGAATCTATTGCAATCATAACATGTACTAAAACAAAGGATGAATCGATTGCTAATCATAACATGTACTAAAACAAAGGATGAATCTATTGCAATCATAACATGTACTAAAACAAAGGATGAATCTATTGCAATCATAACATGTACTAAAACAAAGGATGAATCAATTACTGGAGGTAAAACAAATATTTAAAACAATGCTTACTCCTGTGTTAATTTATTTATCCATATTTGAAAAGACTTTAGTAAGAACAAATGTACTATTCTGGTCACATACCTTTTTGACTAGGCCCCTTAAGAGAATCTCCACTTGCTTTTGATGGCGGCAATCCTTGTAAACTAAAGCCAGTGCTTTGCAGGTCTGCAGAGTCTCCTTGGTCAGCGATCGATTTTACAAAAACAGACTTTTTAATTTCCTTCAGTTTGCCTGTATTAGTATCAGTGTTGTCTGCACTACATTGAGCATTGTCTGCATTAGGTCGAATGTTGTCTGCACTAGGTCCACTGTTGTCTTTTGAACTCTCTGGTGAAGGTTTTTTAATACAATGAGGTAGCGATGTTTCATCAACAACATCATCTGAACTCAGAGTACCTGCCGTTTCTTTTCTTTGGGGTATTTCTCCGCCTATTTCCCCTTGCATAGTTTGTTCTTGATCTGTGATTTTTACAGGCATCTCATTCCCACTGTTTGCAACAACACTAGTGTTCTGGTAACTTTTGGGACTGAGTGGGTGGGAGAGAGGTGTACTATTAGAACTTGATACTATCTGTCCAAGTTGGCTGTCTGCACGATCGATAATGGACTGATTGGGCGTCCCGAAGAGATCTGGACCGGTAGTGGAGCCTCCACTGTGTCGTTTTAGATGACTTTTCGACAAAGTGTTGGCTGCTGGCGGGTCAGATGATGGTTTTTCAAAATCTCCTTGATTTGTGGTCCTTTGCTTGCCTGCAGTTAAAAAGTAGGAGCAAATGTCATGAATTTTTTAAACAATTTTGTCCGACCCAAAGACTACCTCACGTGGCACAAACTCTAAACCAATGGAAACAGGTTGAGTACATCATTAAGAATATTGTAAATTTATACCATATAGAAAATAATTCTTTTTATTAAAAGTTAACCTATTTATTGTACAGAGATTCTCCTAATTTGACTCCAGTCGGGGCATCAAAATAATTTTATCTCTATTCAAAATAATCGACACAAACTGTATTATCAAAGAGTACTTTTAACATTTTTTAAATACAATCTCAAATAAGGTGCTAACCGAAACTTTGTAAATACATAAAGCTCTTCACCTAATCTAAAAAATATTGTTTTAAATATCATTTGACCTTTTCTTTTCCCCAGCAATGAGAATTTTTTCTTAAATCATCTGAGTATTGTTAAGACCCAAAGGGTAGGGGAGGAGTCGGTGGTGGGGGCATTGCACCATTTAGTGCTGTACTCATGAATGGCTTTACCTTGTAAGTCTGAGGAATTTTGTGGAGCAGTCAAGACAGGTAAACCTGTGGAATGCTGCTTTGGTAAAACCTGACTTGATGGGATAGCTTCCAAACTGGGAACGCTTGTTTTTGATCCTGCAGAATAATATTTAAATGTGGACAATTTAAATGACAACAATTTTTTTTAAAAATCAACAACTAGTCAAAGTCAGTAATTATTTGCTTGATGATGTGTATTACCAGGGAATGTAAGGAACATGAAAGAACTCGCCTGAACTAAATGTCCTTGACAGTGATGATGAGCTAATGTCTGCCAGGTCCCCTGTAGTCATGGTACTGGAAGTTCTTGATGGTGAAACCATGGTGGGGGCTGAATGCTCTGTGGTTTGATGGGATTCTTCCATGGGACCACTTTCACTTTCATTTTTCAATAAAATCTCCTGAAAGAAAGTAATAAGTCTTGTCTTTGGAACAAACTTTTAGAGTAAAGTTTCAAATGATTTAGGAACCAGTTGCACGAAATAAAGTTTTAAAAATGATGGTTATGATGACATTGGGTCATGGAGATCGTGACATAGACTTGACCTCTGAGGAAGACGTTGGGTCAAGATGACTGTGAGAGACGTGACCTCTGCCTCAATTAAGAGGCTAAGTATCTAGTTAGGAAATCTATTTTTCTTAGTATTCCAAAGTATCTGGTCTAATGAGTCATTAAATAAAATACTACTCACAGATTTTTCAAAAGCTTGCACAAGTTCTCCCTTAGAGTTAAAGACTTGTGTTTTCGTTTTCAGTGTAACTGTGTAGGTCATGACGACGGTTCTCGTTACTGTTCTCCTCTCAACATCTGGGCCTTCTGCCGGTTGTTTTGATGCAACAAAACCCTGAACAGAAAGTTGGTTTGATGAGAGAATGTTTATGTAACAATACTAACCAGGAGATTTATCTTTGCGAAACTAAAATTCATTTTCTCACAGATATTAATTTGTCACAATCAGAATAGCTGGCAAGTTTTGTTTTACTTTGTTGGGGTTGCTCTCTGACTCTCCTGTTATTGAGAGTCAGCACCAATTTGTTTGAATAACATTTTGTGAGTCTGGGCCTAGTTATGAGGGAGAGATGTAAACAGCAGACTGCCACAGTGTCTTTTTAATTGCCCCGTTGGGGCAAGGAATAGTTAAATACATTAAAACATTCAATCACGTGTATTCAATCAAGTGTATTCAATCAAGTGTATTCAATCACGTGTATTCAATCACGTGTATTCAATCACGTGTATGCAATCACGTGTATTCAATCACGTGTATTCAATCACGTGTATTCAATCAAGTGTATTCAATCAAGTGTATTCAATCATGTGTATTCAATCAAGTGTATTCAATCAAGTGTATTCAATCATGTGTATTCAATCATGTGTATTCAATCAAGTGTATCAATCATGTGTATTCAATCATGTGTATTCAATCAAGTGTATTCAATCAAGTGTATTCAATCATGTGTATTCAATCACGTGTATTCAATCACGTGTATTCAATCACGTGTATTCAATCATGTGTATTCAATCAAGTGTATTCAATCAAGTGTATTCAATCATGTGTATTCAATCACGTGTATTCAATCACGTGTATTCAATCACGTGTATTCAATCAAGTGTATTCAATCAAGTGTATTCAATCATGTGTATTCAATCACGTGTATTCAATCACGTGTATTCAATCACGTGTATTCAATCATGTGTATTCAATCACGTGTATTCAATCAAGTGTATTCAATCAAGTGTATTCAATCACGTGTATTCAATCAAGTGTATTCAATCACGTGTATTCAATCACGTGTATTCAATCAAGTGTATTCAATCAAGTGTATTCAATCAAGTGTATTCAATCATGTGTATTCAATCAAGTGTATTCAATCACGTGTATTCAATCAAGTGTATTCAATCAAGTGTATTCAATCATGTGTATTCAATCAAGTGTATTCAATCAAGTGTATTCAATCAAGTGTATTCAATCACGTGTATTCAATCAAGTGTATTCAATCAAGTGTATTCAATCACGTGTATTCAATCACGTGTATTCAATCAAGTGTATTCAATCATGTGTATTCAATCAAGTGTATTCAATCATGTGTATTCAATCAAGTGTATTCAATCAAGTGTATTCAATCAAGTGTATTCAATCACGTGTATTCAATCACGTGTATTCAATCATGTGTATTCAATCAAGTGTATTCAATCAAGTGTATTCAATCACGTGTATTCAATCACGTGTATTCAATCAAGTGTATTCAATCACGTGTATTCAATCACGTGTATTCAATCACGTGTATTCAATCATGTGTATTCAATCAAGTGTATTCAATCATGTGTATTCAATCAAGTGTATTCAATCAAGTGTATTCAATCAAGTGTATTCAATCACGTGTATTCAATCAAGTGTATTCAATCACGTGTATTCAATCACGTGTATTCAATCATGTGTATTCAATCAAGTGTATTCAATCATGTGTATTCAATCAAGTGTATTCAATCAAGTGTATTCAATCACGTGTATTCAATCACGTGTATTCAATCAAGTGTATTCAATCACGTGTATTCAATCAAGTGTATTCAATCAAGTGTATTCAATCAAGTGTATTCAATCATGTGTATTCAATCAAGTGTATTCAATCACGTGTATTCAATCAAGTGTATTCAATCAAGTGTATTCAATCACGTGTATTCAATCAAGTGTATTCAATCATGTGTATTCAATCACGTGTATTCAATCAAGTGTATTCAATCAAGTGTATTCAATCACGTGTATTCAATCAAGTGTATTCAATCAAGTGTATTCAATCACGTGTATTCAATCAAGTGTATTCAATCATGTGTATTCAATCACGTGTATTCAATCAAGTGTATTCAATCATGTGTATTCAATCACGTGTATTCAATCAAGTGTATTCAATCAAGTGTATTCAATCACGTGTATTCAATCAAGTGTATTCAATCATGTGTATTCAATCAAGTGTATTCAATCATGTGTATTCAATCAAGTGTTTTCAATCAAGTGTATTCAATCACGTGTATTCAATCAAGTGTATACAATCAAGTGTATTCAATCATGTGTATTCAATCACGTGTATTCAATCAAGTGTATTCAATCACGTGTATTCAATCAAGTGTATTCAATCATGTGTATTCAATCAAGTGTATTCAATCAAGTGTATTCAATCAAGTGTATTCAATCACGTGTATTCAATCAAGTGTATTCAATCATGTGTATTCAATCAAGTGTATTCAATCAAGTGTATTCAATCACGTGTATTCAATCACGTGTATTCAATCAAGTGTATTCAATCAAGTGTATTCAATCATGTGTATTCAATCAAGTGTATTCAATCAAGTGTATTCAATCAAGTGTATTCAATCACGTGTATTCAATCAAGTGTATTCAATCACGTGTATTCAATCAAGTGTATTCAATCAAGTGTATTCAATCAAGTGTATTCAATCAAGTGTATTCAATCAAGTGTATTCAATCAAGTGTATTCAATCACGTGTATTCAATCAAGTGTATTCAATCACGTGTATTCAATCAAGTGTATTCAATCAAGTGTATTCAATCATGTGTATTCAATCAAGTGTATTCAATCACGTGTATTCAATCACGTGTATTCAATCATGTGTATTCAATCAAGTGTATTCAATCACGTGTATTCAATCAAGTGTATTCAATCAAGTGTATTCAATCACGTGTATTCAATCAAGTGTATTCAATCACGTGTATTCAATCATGTGTATTCAATCAAGTGTATTCAATCACGTGTATTCAATCACGTGTATTCAATCATGTGTATTCAATCAAGTGTATTCAATCATGTGTATTCAATCAAGTGTATTCAATCAAGTGTATTCAATCACGTGTATTCAATCAAGTGTATTCAATCAAGTGTATTCAATCACGTGTATTCAATCACGTGTATTCAATCAAGTGTATTCAATCATGTGTATTCAATCAAGTGTATTCAATCATGTGTATTCAATCAAGTGTATTCAATCACGTGTATTCAATCAAGTGTATTCAATCACGTGTATTCAATCACGTGTATTCAATCAAGTGTATTCAATCATGTGTATTCAATCAAGTGTATTCAATCAAGTGTATTCAATCACGTGTATTCAATCAAGTGTATTCAATCAAGTGTATTCAATCACGTGTATTCAATCAAGTGTATTCAATCAAGTGTATTCAATCAAGTGTATTCAATCATGTGTATTCAATCACGTGTATTCAATCAAGTGTATTCAATCAAGTGTATTCAATCACGTGTATTCAATCAAGTGTATTCAATCATGTGTATTCAATCACGTGTATTCAATCAAGTGTATTCAATCAAGTGTATTCAATCACGTGTATTCAATCAAGTGTATTCAATCAAGTGTATTCAATCACGTGTATTCAATCAAGTGTATTCAATCATGTGTATTCAATCAAGTGTATTCAATCAAGTGTATTCAATCAAGTGTATTCAATCAAGTGTATTCAATCAAGTGTATTCAATCAAGTGTATTCAATCAAGTGTATTCAATCAAGTGTATTCAATCAAGTGTATTCAATCATGTGTATTCAATCACGTGTATTCAATCAAGTGTATTCAATCAAGTGTATTCAATCAAGTGTATTCAATCAAGTGTATTCAATCAAGTGTATTCAATCATGTGTATTCAATCAAGTGTATTCAATCAAGTGTATTCAATCAAGTGTATTCAATCAAGTGTATTCAATCAAGTGTATTCAATCAAGTGTATTCAATCATGTGTATTCAATCATGTGTACTGGTTTAGCTAATAATCACCACTAGCGCACTCTTGCAGTTGAATATATCATCACAAACTCTACATTTTTAGAACAACCATGAAATTCATAATTTTTTTTTTACAAATTGGCTAAATGGAAGAAGTAGCTATTCTCTACCGACATTAGTAAATAAAACTACCTCCCGTGGTCCAGTGTCAGAAAAATTAACTGTTGATGCCTTCCTAATATTTTGACTGTCGGTGTGAACAGTTGTTTCAGTCATACTTTGGGCTTGAGCTTTAGGAGACGGATTTGTATCTGTAAAATATAACACAGCATTCCTAGCATTGTTATTTATTTAAATATCTCCTTATTGTACCTCAAGACTTTTTCAGAAATTCTAAAAGATGTTTTTCAAATATCAAATAAATATTCACAAAAAGAATTTTTAGTAATTACAGTAAATTTTTAGATATATTAGACACAAACAATTTGTGTCAATAAAACAATGTATGTTCAGCTTTAATGATAATTTTACATAATACACAAGTAAACGTTTCGGCAAATGCCTTCATCTATTTTAAAGCTTTATCACAGTCCAAAACTCTTATAATCAGTCAATTTTACTGTGATCTAATTAAGATAGACATACATTTTTTTCCCCTAAAACTTATCTCAAGAGAACTCAGACCTGATTTTGTGGACATCACATTCTCAGATTTATTTCCAACAGCAAGGCCAGACGGACCAGGGTCTGTTGCCAATGTTGTCACTTGCTGACCAGCAGTCGGCTGGTCTTGAGCAGCATCTTGGTCCAGTGATGACTTGGATTTCCTTTTGGCCTGTAGCCTTAGTTTATGTGGACGAGCTGGCTTAGTCTTACAGGTCGAGTCATCGGTGGAGGACGATTTATGGTCTGTCTACAGAAGACACCACCGTAACAGTTTTATTTTAGAATACCATTTTATCAGGTGAAAAAAATGTGTGTTCCTGTTTCTGAAATGTGTTATCACTTGTTTGAAACATTGTTCCCATTGGCTGGCTGGCATAAAATAATTAATTCTTACTATCCCGTTTAATGTGTTCAGTTTTGGAGTATATGGAAATTAAATATTTTTGGGTAAAATTATTATAAAGTATCGCAATTGGTTAGCCTTTTCCAGCTATATATCTTGAATGGTCTTCCTCAAAAGCAGCCTCACATAATTTGGTCTTATAAAGTTTTCTATTGGTTTAAAAGATGTTTATATTAAGAAGGTATTTTTTTTTATGTGGCTAAAATAAGTTAATGTTATATCATTTTGTTTACTACATAATTCTGAGCTATACACAAGCTATTTTACTACATAACTCTGAGCTATACACAAGTTATTTTACTACATAACTTGAGCTATACTCAAGCTTTTGTGCTGCATAACTCTGAGCTATACCCAAGCTATTGTACTGCATAATTCTGAGCTTTACACAAGCTATTTTTCTACATAACTGAGCTATTCCCAAGCTATTGTACTGCATAACTCTGAGCTTCACACAAGCTATTTTACTACATAACTCTGAGCTCTACCCAAGCTATTGTACTGCATAACTCTGAGCTTTACACAAGCTATTGTACCACACCTTCCTCACTGGAGTTTTTTTCCGCAGTCTTATTTTAACAAATGATGTTCTTCTTTCTAGAGGAGATTTGATTTTCTGCTTGAATGAAGGTTTGGTAAAAACTTCATCATGAATTACAAGTTGAGATTCCCTGGACTTTGGCTGAGACATAGTGGTGCTTACATGTAGAGAGATAGAAAAAAGGTGCAAATTTTGACGTCAAATAATTTAAAGGAAAATCTATGCATTAAAACAGTATTGCTTTTATAATTCAAATATATTCTTATGTCATCTCACATAGAGGAGGAAATGAGATTGAAAGTAAATCTATAGTTCATAATGATGCAGACCTGTTTACCCTCAAACTCTTAAAATCGTACATCATCACAAAATCAATCAATACATTATCTTAATAGTAAAATAAACATCAGTATATATAATGTATACACCTCAAAATCGTACATTGTACGCCAAAATCGTATGAGTAAACAGGTCTGATGATGCATATTAGCTCCTGGCTGATTAAACCTACCTGGGGTTTTGTCCAGCCATATTGAGATTGGTCAAGTTGTTATTATTAATATTGTTTACAGATCTGCCGTATTGCATGGTCTCCTCGGGCCCCACCGTGCATTCAGCTGATGCAGTTTTGTCATGATCTGTTGCTTCTGGCATTGTAATGATTCTCTGTTCTCCTTGGGGTCTTAATTTGGTAAAAGCTCCTGAGTCAACATTGATAACATCTTTCCCCGATGTCACAGTTTGAGGATCTCTACTAAGTGAAGACAAACCGATCAGTGAACTGGTCGGCTGTCCGACAGACTTCATTTGATCCATGTCATCACCTCTGTCAAGCTCTTCATGTTTCTGGGAAATGTTTTTAACCTTTCCGATATTGGTCAATTGTTGATGGGGCGAAGTGACAGCCGAAGTGACAGCCTCATGCTCAGGGGAAGAAATAATAACAGGATCAGCGGCATCATCCCCACTTTCCTGGATTTGACCAGGAGCTTCATATTCATAGGACAAGGTCATGTCCGCAGAATCCACAGGATGAGACTCTTCAACAAGCTTTAAACTGGACCCTTCATCAAGAGATGTTAGTCTTTTGTCCAGCCACTTGGATGTGTTTAGTTTCTGTGAAGTCTTGGAGCTGGACCCTTCATCAAGAAATGTTAGTCTTTTGTCCAGCCACTTGGATGTGTTTAGTTTCTGTGAGGTCTTGGAGCTGCCACTCGTTGCTTGTTTGCTTGATGGGGAACTGCCAGGAATTTGTAGCTTCCTTTTAAGTGTTTTAGTTTCAAGAAAGTCATTGCTGAGAGGAGAACATAGTGAAATAAAAAGTTATTGTAGTCCACTTCATGAAATCCGTGCACTTATAGTAAATGATTTATAATTCAATATGTGTGTGGTGGTGTATTGTATTGTATGAGGTGTATAGTGTTTGGTGCATAAGTTGTGGTGGTGGTAGTTTATGTGTGGTAGCGTATTGTGTGTTGATGGTGTATTGTGGTAGTGTATTATGCATGGGGTGTATTCTGTATAGTAGTGAATTGTGTGGTATGTTGTATGACGTGGTGGTGGATTATGTGTGTGGTGGCATGATGTATGCGTGTGAGGCGGCATAGCATATGTGATGGTGCGGTGTATGTGGTGATTTATGATGTGTGTGGTGGTGTGGTTTATCTGTGTGGTGGTGTGGTATATGTGTTATCTGATGTGTGGTATATGATGTGTGTGGTGTATGATGTGTGTGGTGTATGGTATGTAAGTGACTGTAGTGTCCATTCACCAATTCTATTAGACTCCATGTAACTTCTTTGAGTCAAGTCACACAAACTACCAGTTATTTACCTGTGTCCTTATTTGACACATCAATCCAATAACAAGCCAACAATGTTAGCAGAGAGTCTCATGTTTGCTAGCTAAACAACCCCAACTTCCAAGATCCTAAACATAGAATAACTGATTTCTGTCAACTTCTGTAGGACCTAATTTTAAACTGACTTCTGGAAGCTGTGATTTATCATTTATTTATCATTGATTTTTCTTTACCTGTCTTCTCTGATTCTCTTTGTTTTTTGTGGAGTCAAGTTCCCAGATTTGACCCGTTTGAATACGCTCATGCTGCCCTCAGACTCATCATTGATGTCAACATCATCCACCGATGCCGCAGGTTCTAGTTGGTGTATAAATAAATGTGTCAGTCTTTCCATTTTAGTCAAAGAATAAAAAATCTTTAAACAAATCTTTAAACTCATGTGTTTTTATGAAATTAACATAAAACACAAGTGCTTGTAGACTGAAACAAAATGATTGCTTTCACTGTAGTAAGATTTGAATCTATAGAGGACATCAATCAATACCTGCTAACCTGTGTAACCTAAACGTTGTCAAATACTCGTCTAAATGCTGCCATGAATGTCTATACAAAGTCAAGTACTGTTCATTAGTGCAGACCTGTTTACTCTCAAACTCTTAAACTCGTACAATATCATCACATAATTGTTCAGTACCTTATATTTATAGTAAAAAATAAACATACAGTATATATAATGTTTACACCTCAAAATCATACATTGTACGCCAAAATCGTACATTGTTCGCCAAAATCGTAAGAGTAAACAGGTCTGTATATGTCATAAAGTAACAGTCGATGAGGAGTCCTGTAGTCATGTACCTGCCTATATGTTGTCAGGTCAAGTATCTTTCTACATCATCAAGTAATTTGTCAATGAGTAGTGTTGTTATGTGCATGCCATATGTCATAAAGCATCTGTCTATATGTTGTCAAGCAGCCGTCAATGAGCAGTTGTGTAGTGATGGACCTGTTATGTTGTCAAGTCAAGGATCTGTCTTTATGTCATCAAGTAACAATGACAATGGGCAGTAGTGTAGTGATGGACCTGTTATGGTGTCAAGTCAAGGATCTGTCTTTATGTCATCAAGTAACAATGACAATGGGCAGTAGTGTAGTGATGGACCTGTTATGGTGTCAAGTCAAGGATCTGTCTTTATGTCATCAAGTAACAATGACAATGGGCAGTAGTGTAGTGATGGACCTGTTATGGTGTCAAGTCAAGGATCTGTCTTTATGTCATCAAGTAACAATGACAATGGGCAGTAGTGTAGCCATGTACCTAGACATGAGATGATGATACTGAGACTGTACCAGTCTCATTGTTCAGAGACCACGGGCAAGTTTTTATCAAGTAGGTGTTAAAATACAGTGCATTTGATAGTGTGCCAAGATTGTAAAGAAAACCTTTCTCTTACTTACTCTGTAGGAAAAATAAAGGTTTTTTAGAAAACACTTGAGCTTTGGCTGTTGTACTTTGAACTCTATAATAAGAAATATTAGAAAAATATATGCTATTATGCGACAGCTATTTAACAAATAATTTAAAAAAATAAATAAAAAATTACTAATTAAAGACTATTAACTCTTTAGCTGCAGCACAACGCCACAGTACTTTCTCCACCGTTCTAAAAAGCACGGACCAACACGCTGTGCGTTGTTTCCATATCAGGGTTGTTACTTTGCTATTTCTCGGTTAATCTTTTTTTAATTAGACTTTTACATAAAGGTGTGGTGCTTCATCATTTATGAGCCAAACCAAGGTTTATTTGTTGTCATTTGAAGCATAATTTTATTGATATTCTTTTTTTTCTTTTTTCTTTATCAATACTGTTGCTATGGCTACCCTAGGCCCTAGTAGGTGAGTAAGTTTCTTAGACGATTCACAGCTCAAAAAGCTTTGGAAATGTTTTATGCTATTTCTTTTGATAGTGAAGATGAGTTATATTTAGATCCAGCGCATGATTCCGATTGTAGCAGTTTTAGAGGATTTGAGTTATAGAAGTGGAGATGATGTGTGCGTACATCAAAGGGTTTGGGGAAAAAATGGTTTTGCATATCAGGTTTTCACTTTTTAAGTTTATTTTCTGTAACTTATTTTATTTAAACTGAAGAAATAAGTTTAAAAACATATAGTCCATCAATTATCTGTCATTTGATACCAAGTTTAGTCTTATAAACCAAACAATAATATTTTTTTTATTTTTTAATAAACCCAACCTCTCACTCTTTTTTGCTCTTAGAAAAAAATGTAAATTTTTTCTATAAAGTAATGTTAAAAAACTTCATTTTGGTAATAGCTATAGATTCATGATATATAGAAAAATCAAAACAGGGGCTAACTATTTGTTATGTACAGACCTATTCAGGGGAGATTTTGCACATTGGTATGTATAGCCGGAGGGTGGGGGTGGTGGTGGGTGTTCCCATAAAATTCTGACAGTCTCTCATAAAGCCAGATGTCGCCCAAAAATATGTGAAATCCATGAATTCTAATTATTTTCAAAAAAAAGCTATAGAGATATTCCCGCAGCGTTTCACACTGTTGCTTTGTGGCCTCACAATTAACTGGCTGGATATCGGAACAGTAATATTGTCCACTGTACTTGTGAAGTGATTTGTGACAAAATTATTTCATTTGGCTGAACCAATCAGCCACACTAGCTTACAACCTATAAAAGTTTAACAGCACCCCACTTCCCCAAAATTAGTGAGGGGGTTGGGAAGAGAGCTCCATGCTCCATAAAGAAGACTAAATCACAATATTTAAAATAAGTGAAATAAATTTGAATTGTAATATATAACAACACAATAAAGGTGGTTAATTTAAATTGGGAGGTGGGGGCAGAGGCAGCTCACTTTAAAGGGTATATGCCTAGGTTAATGTGCCCAAAATGTACAGAGTGCTAAAGGGGAGAAGATCTAAAAACTGACTTCTTTTGCATGTATAATATATATGGATGGGCCCTTCATTAAAACTTTCAAAAAATTATTTGAAACTGTCGCCAGACAGATACATACTTGAGTTTTAATGGTGAAGTCACAGAAACTTGGATAGTGGGTAATTCACAGGATAATTCCTCTAATTGAAAAAAAAAAAAGTCTCGATAAAAATATATTCTTCATTTGATCCAAATAAGAATTTTATAAATAATTTAATATTTTATGAATATTTTAAATATAAGTTATGTAGATTTTATAGATATTTTATAGGTTTACTCTAGTAGGCAAATGTAGATTATGATTGAACATGTAAAGAGACAATATGGATCCAATAAAAAAAAGTTCCCCTTGAGCTAATTCTTGATAGTTTTTCCCTAATCAAGTGAAATATTGATTTCAAGATGTAAATAAATTATCTGAGATAATACATATGCTTAAAGTTTTTATTTATAATTAATTAGGGAACATTGGATATAATTTTTTTTTAAATTGTATATTGGAGCTTGAATAGCTGTGCTGTAGTTTAATATTACCATCATCATCCTGAGAAGGTGTTAACTTCAAGTGAAAACTCTGAGACTCTGGAGAAATGGTGCAGAAAGTTTGATGGTTAAAATGCTTGGGTTTATCTAACCCACTGTAACAAAACACTTGTCAAAAGAAAACCTCAACAAAAAGGTAAAAATATAAGGAAAAAACAAGAAACAACCAAAACTGTAAACAAGGGCAAACAATAAATTCAACATAGGAGAAACAAATATTTGTTCTCTGCTTAATTATTTTATAGTTCTTTTTTTAAATGTCACCATACATATTAATAACATTGCAAGTAATTATCATATTTCATTATGAAATTACGTAGGTCAAAAACCATTTAATGGAAAATATTCATGTAAATGAAACTTTGCAACAATGGCCTAGCATATAAAATAATGTATTAAAGTCTTTTAAATACCAAATAATGAAAATATAATTAATATCAAATAAAAATAAGTATTTTAAATACTTTCTCTTTAGATCTACCATTTATTTGTAATAACTAAAGCTATTGATCAACAGACTTTACATGAGAACAAAATGTTTAGCGTTTGGTCTTGGAACCTGAACTCAATGTGAAACCAATATTTAGAAATGCATAATTTGGTGTCCTATCAGACACTGAATACATGCTTATATATTATGATTCAAACACTCGCCTGCTCTTCCTTGACTTGAAAGTTTGTCAAACTGTAAAGAAAAGTGAGTGATATAATCTAATTAATTATTCGATATAAGGAAGACCGAGTTCTTTTTACTGATTTTATATTAATAAAGTTATTTTCCTTTTATGCAAGAAAATTAAAAAGGTTTTACATTTTTTTAATGGCAACATCACAGCAACAAAATATATGAACATCATTGTTTCATAAATTGATTCAAGGGATTAGACAAATTGGAAGTACCAAAAACCATGAGTGTGCTCTTCATTACAGATTGGAAATCAGTGCTTACTTTGTGCTGCTTGAAAGAAACAACGTCATCAAGTTCTTCATCCTCTTCAGACAACCCAGCTGAAATGAATCTTTAAAAATATACTTCACCACACATCTAAAGTTCTCTGATAAAGGATCATTGGCACAGCAAATTGTCAAACTTTTGCTATCATTCTTACCTTAAAGACTCTTATATAATATAATCATTCTTCTTAAGACAAGGGTGGCTGGTTTTTATTATTTGAAAATTACTTTTTAAAAATTTGAACAATGTAATCAAAACAAATTTCAATTTGCTTGGATCAATATAGAAATTCTTTCTTATTCATGATTGTGGGAAGAAGCTATAAATTATGTTCTATCAAGAGAAATATACCTGGGTTATAAGTGGTTGGAGAGTCTGGTATGATAGTGGGAGTGGCTTCAATTTCATCACTAGACAATGAAAAAGTTTTTAAAAAAAAAGAATCAGTTAACTGAAAATACATCAAGGTAGCCATAATGGATATCCCTACTCATATAATTGAGAATAAGCCTTTCTTCCAATTATCTCGAATTACACAATATGACTTGATGGTGTTAAAAATCAAACTCTCACAAATTCTGCCTTCGAGTGCCTTCGGGTGGTAATGTACTCCAAGGTAATTAGTTTACTCGTCTAACAACCCCAAGATGTTTCCTTTCACTGAATAATTATCGTAAGCATCATTCATTAACTTAAATAATAATGATATTTGAAACACATTTTTATTCAGTAATCTTAAAACAATGATATGATAAAAATGTAGTAATGAATACTGAAGTAAACAATCGACCTACCAACTGTCCATTAAAGTGTCTGGAACAAGACTTGGTTCACCTGACAGATGTAAACTTCTAATATGTTTAGCTGGTGTCAAGGTGATTTTGCCTTCTGCTGCTTTTTGATCATCTGCTAAGTAGTAAAAGTCTAACAATATACGTTAAAGCTTGAGATGAATAGAAAGAACAATCAAAACCATGTTTGGGCCAGATGCCTAATTCAGCAGACAAAACAAGAAACAAACAAAAATAGGAAATAAAATTCAAAGACTTATTGTTTTGGAAGCAATAATAAAATGTTAGAATTACTGAATTAGAAATACGAAAAGGACGTACAGATTTACATGTTTTTTTTTCAGTATCATTTTAACGTTAACTGATAATAAACAAATTTTACATTAAACTAAAGCTCTGGAAAAGGTCATACAAAAACTGTCATTATACATAACATGTAACTGATTCATTCAAAACAATTACTTCATAGATGTGAAATAAGTTCTAGTGTTAAAATTTGAATTTAAGATTTAAATAAGAGAACTCACTTTTAAAAAATCTGTCAACAACAGTAACATTTTTATCACTTTCACTCGAGGTGACATCACTGAAATTTTAAACAAAAAACTTAGAGAAATAAAACAGATACATGCATGGGTAAATTATAACCATTATTTGTTGTTTTTTTAAATTATTAATAAATTACTAAGTATTTGTTTTAATATTTTACACTATTTATAGTTGGTATGACTGATGCATGTTTTTCGTCAATTTGTTAGTGTGATATATTTTCCAGATACCGGTAGTCAAAATGATATCTCACAACTACAAAGCAAAATGTTACATACAAAGGAAACAGTAGATTTGTTAATTTCAAATCTCCGGTAGTCTTCATGGGAGTAGACCTTAATAATTAGCATTCAACTATTCCTATTCATTATTGAAAATTATTAGCAGTACAAGTTTATAACTTCAGGAGGGTGGTATACACGAAAACAAGAAGTCTATGTAACAAAATTATGTAATGCAGAAAAAAAAATGATTAAATCAATGACCAAAAATAATAAATGCTAAAGGAAAGACATCCTAAAATACCTGACAGTGTCTGGAGCCAGAACCACAGCACAATTGTCACTTTCCACCTCACTGGCTGAAAAGACTGGATTTTGGTCTGAAAAATAAAAATAATGAATTAAATATAAAAGAATAGTAAATAGAACAAAGGACTCAAGACCTGTGTTTAGGTAGGACAAAAATCACAGTTGTTAGAAATATCTCCAAATATTTTAACTTTATTATCCAAAATACACTTTTGGATTTTTCAGCATTATAACTTGTCACCTGATGGCATTCTTTAGAACAAATATAACGAATTCAAATGTAAACAATCTTTTCCCAACCAAGGAAGGGTGGGTAAGGGAATGACTCAGCACATTTACTCAGTGATGACAATATCAATGCCATACTTAGCGCGAGACAAATGGTGGGGGCAAAAAATAGCTTTACCCTGAAATGAAATAATATGCGAAGACATAGGCTATAGTATAACACCCTCCTCGAAACGTGAAAAATGACCTTTCTATGTAATTTTTTTTTGTCATGAAAAAATCTACAACAAAATGCTATAACCATTTTTCAATTAAGTTAAAAGAGGGAATCCGGTGGTGGCCCATTCCATACAGTAACGTTTTATTTATGACTAAGATAAGCGGCCCTATAAAAAACATTCAGATATATAATAATGGAGGTAAAATGAAAAAGTTTTCCCATCAAAATCAGCTTAAAAATATCATAGTTTTAGTCTTATAAATTAACATTCTGGAAAATTCGAGACTGGCCCTTAATTGATTGGATATTCTTACATTTAAATACACCGATATTTCAATATCGATGATGATGGCAATTGCTACTAAGCTTGGCCAAGATCGATCAATTCCTGTATAAGCCTCTACAATTATCTAAGTCAACTGTTATTTACATAACTTTTATAATAAATAATAGTGGATATTATAAGTTCAGTACCCATCAGTATTTGAATATGGATAGTCAAGTGTATGTTTAATAAGTTTGGTCTAGATTCATCCACCGATACAATAGCTATTTTTGAAATTATATATATACATAGCTCATATAAGGAGAAAAAAAATTAATTTTAGTGCCTCCGATCCCAAACGGAATTGTAATTGTAATGTCACACCCCCCCCCTCCCATTTCATTCTGGATAATGATGGATACAAGTGCCAAGTGTGGTCAAGATCCATCAATCCATGAAGAAACATAGGCAGAAAACATCCACAAAATGTTCAATTTTTTTTATATATACATATTAAATCTACTTACAGCTTTTAGGTTCTTTGTCAGACATTATAAGATGCTCTTCATGATCAAGAGTGGATTTATGAGGACCTGATGTCTGCAAAAAGGAAAAATTAATATATGTAAGAAAAGGGAAGGTTGGCACAAATGGCAGGCTAGAGATAAGATTCTCAAAACTTAATCACCAGTACTTTTAATTATGACTCATATTATCATTGAAAACTTGTAATGCATATGTTGACTTATCATGCCGACATTAAAACAGCTATAACATCCTTAACATAGGGTCAGTACTAATGAAACTGGACAATCTTTTAAAATCTGTGTACTTATCTGTAATGTGGGACTACACTTTGTGTTAATTAATATGAAAATAGATTTCCAAACAGAATAACAGAATTCTAGTGAAGCATTTGTCTGAGTTGAACACATATCTTTCTGTGTGATCTCAGTAGAACTTTTATCTTCACACTTCATGCAACATTTTTCTTCACAATACTCATATAGTAATAATAACAGGCTCTCGGGTCTGCATGTGTTCTCATTACGCTCCATTATGGCAGTGGACCACATATGCCAGTTACAATAGGAAACACAACAGTTTCCACCAAAGATGTCTGCATAACATTTTGCCAATCCGATGGCAGGACAAATTGCTTAACACTGAGGTTTCTGAACATGCCAAAATGTGTAGCATGCACTCAGCTGTTAGAAAGAGGTGCCTTAGCTGGTTAGGTCATGTAAGGAGAATGAAGGAAGGCCGCATTCCAATGAATCTGCGATTTAAGGATGTTTGCCAAAGGAAAATGGGGGAAGCCAACATAGAAATCAACAAATGGGAGATTATCACTGAGGACCTTTCCAGGTGGCAAACAGCAGTGTGTGAGGGAGTCAAACAGGCAGAAGATATGCAAAACAAAGCCCTTGTAAATAAAAACAGTATGATGAAATGCCAAATTTAGCCAAAGTTGACTCAAAGTTCTCCTGCGAGAAGTGCACCACAGACTTCCATTCCAGGATCAGCCTAGTAAGACTTTATTTGAAGTGTCAATATATATAGTTATAATAACTTGGTGCTGGGCTTCTTAACCAGGGGTGCAGGATGACTGAGATAATCAGGTTTTTGGCATGTTTATTTGCAACATATGTTTTTGTGGTGATTTTTGTTTCTAGCAAGTTAATTAAATAAGGAAAATAATCATGACAGAATAATTTTATTTATTTTAATACAATACTCTTAAAAAGAGGGGGAGGGGGGGGGCTGTGGTAAATGTTATGAAAGTGAGAGGGGGTACTGTGCTGTAAAAAGATAAAGAGCCTCGGCTTTTGTGCAACAATTATCTAAGTATTATATTATTTATATCTTCTTCTTCTTCTTTATTTTGAGGGCCCACAATCAATGACTTGATCATTCTGGCTCCTATATATATATATATATATTATATTACCTTATATTGGTTTCTCAATTTTTTTTTGTCCCAAATAAAATAGGAATCCTCTAGAAGAATATTATGGCATTGAGCAAAATAAATCATATACTGGTACTTAAAGATGTGTTTTTTCAAAGCACATTGGTCATGAATGTTCAGAGTAAAGTAATATTTGGCAGATTAAGTCAGAGATTATTTTTATATGAATCTTACCAAGGTATTTCCTTTCAGTTTCAGAGCAGGAAGCCCAGTAATTAAATCCCAACTCAGTAAAGAGTCTGAGTCATCAAGATTTGAATCAGAAACAAATAAATCAATATTAGACTCTTTTAAATTGTTTGGTTCATAATTGGAATATGTCCAGATGTGGTCTTTTTCCATGGAACACCATTGAGTCTATGAAAGATGCATTAAGAAAAACAGTTCAATTTGTTGAAATTTAATTTAACTATCACTACTATCAGTTTAACTATTAATAAATGAGAAATAAACTGAAAAGTTAATAAAATGTTAATGGATAATAAAAAATATGATATAATAATATTAGTGAAATAATAAGTTATTAATTTGATTTGTAAAATGTAATGCCGAGTGGCAAAAGGTTCTTAATTTATTGTGTTGTTTATGGTTGGAAGGGGAGAAGACTTTGAATAGGTTTGCTCATGTGTAGTTTTTGTATTGTTGCATTTTGTATTTCAATGTGGTAAAATATAGATTGTTTTGATTTCTCTTTTAATATGTTGAATTTGTACTGCGCTTCGAGCCTTTGAAGCGTGGTTTTCAAATAAACTTTATTATTATTATTATTTTTTAAGTAGCCTAAATTTAAATAATTTTTTTACATTTGTAACGGATTAATAAAGAAGGTCTAAGTCCAGTACTTATGCCCGATATCCTGCTTTGTGTACCGGTATTATATTTGAATAAGTAAAAGTTGGTCTGCGGAGTAGTGGAATTCAGACACTTTTTACTGGTTCAGCACAACACTGAAACATAATTTTTTGTTGAGTTCTGCAAACCAGTTTTTGAAAGGGCATTTGTAATCACATTATCAAGGTTCTCATTAACCTCTAAGGTGGGCGCCTGGGCAGCCAGCAAATGTGGAAATCACAACTTGTCATTTCTATCCATTTGTTTTAACTTTTATCTTTTTTTACACTCACACTTAAATCTAATATTGATTTAATATTGTATAGAGTTTATAGAGCCTCGTATATTAATATTCCTGTGTATGACCTAAGTATTAACTCAAATGCATTTTGCTTAATGAAATAATAAACTACCCTTTTCCCTAGGCCTTTATCCTCTTTTCAACCACTAAATTCCTATTGGTTTGGCTGTAAAACATCCATAGTATCCCAATGTAAGGGGAATAACTCTAAATAATTAATTAAGTTCTTTTACAAAATTCAATCCATCTCACTAATTTAAAAATTAATTGATATGAAAATAGTTTAATTAAATAGAGAAATTAAGTTTCTATCAGAAGATACTAAATATGTATTAGTGAATTAAAAATTTACATTGGGCCCTATTTAAAAAAAAATTAAAATGTTGAAAAATATGCCACAAATTCTTAACTTTTATTGTTAAATCAGTTCCTCGGTTTAGCATGGAAATTAGCCTAACAGAGCTTACCCCAAAGGGAAAAAAAAAGAAGCTGATCACTAATGTGTGTGTTATACAAAACACATCCAAACACAGCTTCTGGTCCTTTATTTGACTCAAGCGAGTGCGAATGTTTTTCTGCTCACACTGGAAAAAAATGTTTAAGTCCAAGGAGCTGAAACATTTAATGCTCCGAAAATGTTCCAGGTGCAGCCAAACCACCAGCAGCAGGGACCTTCACTCTCCACCTGTCTTCTTTTTCTTGTAGAGCTTTTCATAAGGCAACAGGCAATGTCCATATGAAAATTAAAATGGGACACTGGCTTTGATGTCAGGGGACATCGCATACTTTGTATAAAATGAACACATTAAGTCAGCACTACCTCTTTAATTAAAAACAAAAAACAGCAACTCAACCACTAGTGGCTTTTTCTGTCAATAGGGTAGTATGATCTCAGATGATCATGTGTCTGTGGTTTTGTCTATGCCTAGGCTGGAGATTCCAGCAGTTCACAAGCTTGGGATTGGGCATGGCGAGGGTTTAAACCACTTGGTTACCCAGCACAGGCAGGCGATAACAGTATAAAACATTAGCAAGTGATAGATATGGAAAGTTACTGGTTAAACTTATTTACAGTAGAGTCATTAGTTAGGGCAGCGAACCAGTTGTTAAATTTTGAAATATTTTCTAATCACTAGCTAGAGTATCAAAAAAATTATGTGAAGGAAATATTTAATTAAAGGCAAAGGCCAAAAAAAGTATAGTACTGGTACTTGGTACTAAGACTTCATAGTCTATCATCTATTTATATGTGATGTCTATGTCAGAAATTTCATTTTTTAATAATAATGTGGAGCCCTATCTATGTCATGCTCTAACTCTAGTATTACTAGTATTGTATAGGCATAGTGTAGATGAAGATAGTATTTTAGGGTAAAGGGAGGTAATTGGCTCCATGGGGTATTAAGTCTAATTGCTCAGTTCATACAATGAAATGCTTGATATTATTGTAAAAAGAGAGAAGGGCATTAAGCTTTACTTGGTAGAAACTTACTGACCAATCGGAGAACTTTTCACAACCATTCTTGCATTTTTAACTTATGGGATTGATTTTTAATTTGCCTTTTTAGACAAGTGCTTTTAACCTCCTGTTTTCAGCTTTCTGAAAACCATTTGTAAAACTTCAGCTAAGAGGGTGCTTGTTTATTTTTACTTGAAATTTTATTTCTACAGTGAAAGCTTTTTAGTTTACATACAAAAACAAGTACAACTAAACTCAGCAATTACTTTTTTTTAGTTTTTAACTATATATGAATATGTGTGTAATGAATGAGTTAAAATACTGATATTTGTAGAGCAAATGAAGCTGGTCGTTTTTGCAAAGTAAAATGGCAGCTGGATGAATGATTTAGAGATTGTTTATAAAAAGCTCTAAAATTCACTTTAATACTAAAGTTCCTTTTAATATTTTGAATATGAAGCATTTGTACAAGAGATATGGTTCTGTAGATTATTTATTTAATTAGTTTATAAAAAGGGAAGCGTTATACGCAGTCGGCTGCGCATAACCCTGAGAGTTATACGCAGTCGACTGCGCATAACCCTGAGGGTTATTCCCAGCAGTCAGCTGGGAATTTAGCCAAATAAGGTTTATTACCGCTAGTTTGGCAATTTAAAAAAAAATATTATGCGTAATTAGCTGCATTATGGGTTGTTTTGAACTATAACTTTTAATTAATATTGAAATTGAATGATAGCAATACTATTAGTGCTATTATTAGTATTATTGCTTGTATCTTATATATTATAATTATAAGTCTAAGTCAAAGTCTACATTTCTTAGAGTCTAAGCCTAAGTCTAAGATTTTTAAAAAGGCATTTCCATGGTCTAAGTCTAGTTATGTATTCTGATTGATTAGGTTTTTATATGTTGCTATGACCATGTGGTTGGTTTTACTGACTAATTCAGGAAATACATTCTATTTATTTTTAAAAAAATTATATCATTTATGTTGGGTTTTTTTTAGATGACCTAAATGTAACAGTTTTCAGCTTCCATGCAAAACTATAACTGTGTGAAAGTATTACGTACAGTGCCCGCTCTACAGAACCCCCCTGCCCCTACAGCTATTTTTTTACTGCTACTCTCCACCCATGATTATATTTATTACTGTACCAGAGAAACATGATTTTATCTGCCAAAAAATTAGTTAACAACACAAACATATATTTGATAATAATAAGAATAACATTATTAACATTACATTGGTCAAGTTAATAATTCTTCTCATGTTTTAACATTTTTTAGCCAAAACAAAAGTAAAACAATAAGCCTAGTTGTTTTTGCTTCATTCTTGAGAACTAACATAACAACTAACACGTATTCATGGCTTGCCGTTGGCTGGAATTGAACTCAAGACCACCAACTTGAGGTTTGGTCAGTTTGTACCATTCGACCACCCAGTCACCCCGACATCGAGGCACCCTTATCGATTGATACTGTAACACAGGAAGAATATAGACCTCACGTGACTTGCCGACTGCGTATAACTTTCAGGGTTATACGCAGTCAGCTGCGCATAACCACTTCGTTATAAAAATGAATATTTTAAATATCACAAAGCAGGGGTTTAACACCCCCAACTGTTAAAAGATGATTAAAATAACCAAATAATATTGATCTGATTAATAAAAAATCCATGTTTTAATTTAAATAGCATTACACTACACAGATACAGTTTAAATTGAAAACAAAAGTTATTAATTTGTAGAAATAGGTTTAAAAAATTTTAAAAATAGTTTTGATAATGAAATCCCATAAAAAGCTGATATTGAAGCCATGGAATGTATCTGTCACTGTCAGAATTGCCTACAACCTATGACTATGTCACATTATGTGGAAAATATATGGATTGAACATGCTGCCCCATTTTGTTAAATTTAAGTCATCATTAGTTTTAACTTTTAACCTTTTTTTCCCACTATTTGGCTTTAAATTTTGCTCATTAAAGCTTTTGTACTTCAAGAAAGATGTATGGTCTGTTATTTAAAAACATTGTCAGTTTGAATTTTGTTAAGTTTTGCTAGTCCACCATAACAAATTTAATAATATTTATTCCAAAGAGAAAAACAAAAAGTTCTTGAAAACATGATGAATGATCAATGATGGTCTGATGGTGAAAGTGAATTTCCTCCATTACCTTATTTTAGTATTTTATTTTTTACTTATAATGCTATAAAAATAGTATGTATAGTATTAAGTATAGTATAAGCCATAATTTTTAATTCTTGTCAATGTCATTATTGAATGATAGTGATAGTTTATTTTTTATGATGAGAATGAAAATGATTATATTAAATTTGTAGTCCTTAATTTTATTTTATAGGCTAGTACTAGACTTACTAGTTACTAGTGACTAGTAGTAGTAGGTATTTATTCAGAACTTAAAAAGTATGAATATAAAATATAATATTATGAATGACTGTCAGACATGTATTTGTATGTAATAAGGCCATAACCCATATGTTTTTTGTCCAAGTATCGCGTACCCTTATACTTGTATGGTACTTTAATTTACGACAATGACAATGTTGACCAACTTTGATAACTTGACGGCGGGACTTTTCGTTCACTCTGATCAGTTCATAAACTGTAACTTACACATAGACTGTTCTCTTCCTTCCGTCAGAAAGACGTTTTTCTCTAAACACAGATTCGCCTTTTAGAGAATAGGAAAATAAATTAATTTAAAAAATAATAATGTTGAAAAACAATAATGTTGTTTTTAGAATATGTATATGCATATCTAATTATTTAAAAATGATTCATGTGTGCTAATAGCAGGCAATTGATAACGCATAATTAATAGTATGAATAAAATTAGTTTTAAATTTTATTTTAAATGTAATTTATTAATTATTGATTGATTGAATAATTTTATAGCGCTTTTGACTTTTGTCCAAGCCATTGTTGTAGCATACTCACGGCGCTCTAATATCCTAAAATATTTTGAAAGAAAAAAAGTATTTAAATTTTTCTTAAATGATTTCTATCATTTTCAAGTTTCCTCAAAGATTGAGGCAAACTGTTCCATAATTTCATAATTTAGGCGCAGTTTACATTACTGCTTACTTTTAATAGTCATAGTCATAGTCATGGTAGACACTCTTGGCCTTGATTTTAGATCTAGTTAAAAGTAAGCCCAAAGTAGGGGTCGGTAACCTTTTGGTGATATTTTGCCTAAATATGAACGCTAATTCATTCAGTATGCCAACAACTGATGTATCTACCCAGTGGCGTCTCTGGCTGTGCTCTCTTGGTCTCTCAGTTAAGAAGGTTGGGGCGGAGGAGTGTCCACCCCTGGCGACAATTTTTTTTTCTTCTCTTTATTGAGGGGCGGTATTTTCGACCAAATGCAGCAGAGTTTTTTGTGAGGAGAGGGCGGAATAAATCTATGCCTGGCTGTGCGGTCAAAACATGTCACTTTCCATACATGAGTATTCGAGCAAAATTACCCGCCTAAGCCAGACAATTAAAATAAACTTTTTTATCCTAACAAAAATCCCCCTCCTAATAATTTTTTTTCTTTAGTCAGTTAGGACCTGAGTTGTGAATACATCGATAAAATACCACGTACTTCACAAAGACAAGGGGCGTAAAAACATCCTTACTTCTGATCCGCCCAGACAGCACTTTTTCTATATAACGACAAGCACAGGTTCCCCTAAGGATTTTGATGTGTTAAATGTTATATATTTTTAAAATTATTCACGTAATTAAGTTAGCATTTACTCCTTTCAACCTGTGAGACAGCCGAATTGATTTATCCTGTTGTCTCCATTGAATCGTTTTCAAGTAGGCTTACTGGTCGGTACTCGTGAAGACTCATAGCTTTTTATTGTACCATCAATCTGAAGAGACGCCAAAACCAATGGCATTGAAAATCACAGCAGTAAGTTCATTTAACCTGAAGAGGGGGGCAGATACGATGAGAGACTTTGCTAGAGATAGGAAGAGAAGAAAGAGAATGAAGAGAGAGAAAGAGAGAGACGAGGGAAGAGTGAAAATGGAATGGAGATTAATAATGCGGGCATTAGTAATAAATGCAAGCACGGAAATGAAAATGCGGCAAATACTTGATCGCTTTGCTAAGGTCTGCGACAGCTACGGCCTCACTATCAATACAGGGGGGAAAAGAGATCTTGCACCAGACAACTCCAGGAGAAGGTTACAAAGAAATTAAAACTAAAATATCAGTGAAGGGACAGAATCTCCAAACAGTGGGAAAATCACATATTTGTGCTGTTGGAGCACAATCATTGGAGAATACGTGCACCGCTTACGCCCACAGAAAATGCATGGCAAGGAAAAGCAGAATGCCTCAAATCCAACTATGACCCAAAAACAAGGTGTGTCCCAGGTGCGAGAAAGATTTTCAGGCACAAAAAAAAGACACATTTTTGTCAACATATATATAATTTTATTTCTGTAATTGTCTCTCATTTAATATTTTTGCAACGCAACTAATTGATTATATTTAAAGATATTTGAAGAAGTTGAAGTATTAAAAGAATTCTTAATGAAGAATATTATTATTATTAATATGATTATTTAAATAATTAAAAAATCGTCGAATTTAAAAAACAACTACGCTTACATATGTTTTGATTTTTAAAGCCTAATGTCAGGAGGGAAATTAATAAATAGTGCATAATTTGCAGTTATTTCTTTTTGGGTCTGTTCTTCATTTGCGTACTGACATGTCGAAATTTATAATCACAGGGGTAGTTCTTTTGTCCCTTACTTCATGGCCTTTATCAATTGCACTAAGTCAATTGAGTTGTATGAAAATCCAACGCAATGTTTTCATTACTGGAGCCGGTTGTTTTTTGGCTGCATCTATTGGGACTTTTTTTCTCTTTAGAAGATACTTCAGGAATGTTGACCCAATGATATACCGTAAGTCTTAAATGCACTTATTTCAATATTTATAAACTGATTATTTTATTCATTGTTTTCTATGACTTCAGTGATCTACGCGCCTCATATTAATTGTGCCGCGTCCCTGACCTACTTTCGGAATTTGATAAATTTAAGTTTAATCGGGAAGTTAAATAATGCCCAGTCCAGGCTCTACTAGCTCTAAATTGCCGAAACTCTCTTCAACTAATGCAATGCTAATTTTATACTTAACATCTTTTAGTCAATTAAGATTATTTGTTTAAAAAATTAAATAAAAATTCAAAGGACACTTCCTGCTCTAATTTCTAAGAAGGTCAGGTTTGCCAACTCAACAATAAAAATACTAAATACCGTAAAATTTGCGCCTACCTCTACTTCTACCCACTACTCAGTGGGGTATCTAGGGGGGCGGGGGGGGGGTGTCACTGGGTGGCACAATTTTAGAGTGACACCCAATTGAAAAATTGCATATTTACAGAGCACAGGCTTGGTTTAACCGAGATTCACAAAAGATAACCGATCACATGTACATGACTGTACATTTTTCACAAATGTAACAAATCCAAATAAATGCTTTACTTTATACTTAATTAAAACTTCAAGGTTGGTGCGTCAGAAATGAGTTGACCCTATGATTAGTATTAGGTCAGAAAAACACAGTCATAAATTATTCAACGCCGATTGAAGTGTTCAGTAACTTTCGTAACTGACATGAAGCTATATTAATCAAAATTGTGAGAAATAAGGCTTTCTATTGTTGATATCAAATAAGATTCTAAGTACAAGAATCGATTCGCTAAAAATTTTAACCTATTTATACTAATTTATAGGGTTAAAAATAAATTGTTTTCACTCTTTTAATTATTAATTCTTATTTATTTATATTAAAAAAAACAAAGTTTTTGGAGAAAGAAATATAAATATATCGAACCCAGAAATACTCAAAAATTCATATTTTTCCAGATTCGTCACTAGTACCGCCCATTAACATTTGAGCACAATTGTCATATTTCGACTGGGTTTTATCAGTTGCCACCTCTCTGTGTTGTATTTTGGATAGTGTTCTGACAGTTTTTTTTTAACTGTCATAAGTAATAATTTTGTTTGTTGTCTTGAACACGACAAAATTAAAGCATTTTTATTGTTCAAGATTGTTTGAGCGAAAAGCAAAAAAAACAACGTGACTCTCTAAAATCCCTAGGATTGTTGCTTTGATATGTAAAGAAAGAAAATGCTGACCAGGGTTCATCTAAAGATGTTCCTCGGCCTACCATTGATACTGATTCCACCGATACCAGCAGCATGCATTATATAGAACAGCAAATAGAGCAGAAAATGAAAGAGATTGACCTGGAATTTCAAGTGAAAGACGTGGATGGTTTGGAAACATAAATGTCTACTGATAATTTTTATTCTAACCAGGATACTAATGCAGAAACAACATCCAAATTTGTTTCTGGCTTTGATAAGTGATGGAACTGAGCCCAAAATTACAAAATCATGAGGCATCGAAAGAGCACCCATGTTGCCTTGAAAAGTGGAAAGCATTGTCAGCAGGTTTTCGGATACATAAAACAATTGATGCCAAAAGTATCGCTGTGATGGACAGGGAGAAGAAAAGTTGAGGGATATCCTGCACAGGTTGCTGGATATCACATTTTTTCTTGCATCACAAAATCTGGCATTTCGTTCCAACAACGAAGATGAATCTTCATTAAAGTAAATTTTATAAAATGTATGAGATGCTATCTAAATATGACACAGTGCTGAAAGAGCACCAAATGAGACTAAATAGGAGTACATCTACAGTGAAAGCATCCCCATCTTACCTTTTGCCAACCCAAAATTAAGTTATAAATGTCCTAGCAAATCATATGAAGGAGATTCTTGATCATGCATATAAAGGCTGCAAGGTATTTTGGAATTATGTTCGACAGTACACCTAATGTATCACACACTGACCAGATGTCTGAAATGATCAGATATGTGAAAATCTACAGTGGGAAAGTTAAAGCGAGAGAAGTGTTTTTGTAATTTTTCCCGTTAAGAGGGAAAAAAAGCTGATGACCTCAGTTCTGACAGTCTTACAAATCTAAAACGTGATGGATTAATTAAATAATAAGCAAGCGATTTTTAATGGATGTTTGGGCCATTCGCTTAACTTGTGTGGTTAATATTCTTTTGCCGAAAATGCTTCATGTGTTTACATTTTTCGGTACTCTTGAAAGAATATTTTCCTTCTTTGCTGCATCCACTCATTGATGTGATGTTCTAATTCAGTGGTTCTCAACCTTTCTTGTGCCGAGACCCTTTAATACAGTTTCTCGTGTCATGGCGACCCCCAGCCACACAATTATTTTTGTTGCTACTTCATAGCTGTAAGGATATGTGTTTTCAGATGGTCTTAGGCAACCCCTGGAAAAGGGTCCCGCGACCCCCAAAGGGGTCGCGACCCACAGGTTGAGAAACGCTGTTCTAATTGAACACACTGTAATGTCGACAAAAAGACGGTCAACAAAGTGTTGGAGTGCGATTGAAGCTCTGTGTAAGCCTCTTGAAAATTAGGATACAAGATGTACAGCACAAGGTCTTTTACATACTGTCTTTGATTTCACGTTTATCTGCTAACTTTACCTTGGGCTGATCTACTTGAGGAAGTTAATCTTACACAGCAGTATCTGCTAATTAAAGGCTTTACTCTCGACAAAGTGGTGACAAACCTAGGGGCCTTAAGATTGTTTCTGCACAAAAGCGCTGTCATTTGGTGGAACATGCTATTGAAAAGGCACTTTTAAAATCAGACCAATATGGAATTTCTGTAGAGAAAATATTAAGGTTTAAGAAGGTTTTTGTTCTTGTCATTGTTTTACTATGGACTTATTTTATCAAGAAGCAATCCATCATGGAAGTTGGGGCCCAAGGGGGAGGGTGGGGGGGGGGGGGTGAGACACCTTGAGTTTACTGCACCGGGTGACACCAACCCTAGCTACACCATTGCCCCTACTATTCCCTTTCCTTCAGCTTCAAGTCATACTGTAATAATATTTTAGTAATAACTAATAACTTAGACTTATTAGGTGTTACTGTACCTTATTAGTAGTAGTGAGATTTGAGGGCTTAACCAGTTAGCTTAGAAGTAGTAGTAGTAGACATACAGAAAGATATTTTATTTTATTATTAAATCTTAAATTATTATTTTTTTACCAACAATTAATTTTTTTAATGACAACAGACTCACTGTGGTTTCGGTAATTTTTATTTGTCTCACTGTCTCACCCTAAGCCCTGTGACTTAATAGTAGGTCTACATTTTCCCAGACCCACTCTCCCACTTTCAGGATACAAATAACAAACATAATAATTTTCTGGGGAGGGGATACCTCTCCCCCCACCTCATTTAGAGGTCTTCCTTTTTGGGGTTAGCAGTACTCATTTTAACGTTTGGGTTAGTTTAGCCAGGGGGGTGCGGGGGGGGGGGGGTGTGGACCGCACCGAAAAATTGCATTTTTACATAGCACACAGTTCTCGGTCTAACCGAGATTCATAAAGGATAGCCGATCACATATACATTTTTTCACAAATGTAACCAATCCAAATGCAGGCTTTATTAAAAGTTCAAGGTTGATGCGTCAGAAATGTGATGACCCTATGTATAGCTCAGAAAAACGCATTCATTATTCCATGCCGTTTGAAGTGTTCGGTAACTTCCTTTTTCAATCTTTTAATGATTAATTCTTATTTATTTAAATTTAAATAAAGAAAAGTTTTTTCTGAAGACATATATAATATTATACATCAAAACCCAAAAGGTATCTTGCCTTTCACCAGAAATCCAAACTGAATTTATAAGCGTCATTGCAAATCATGTGAAGGAGTTTTTTATCATGGATCTAAACCCTGCGAGGTATTTTGGAATTATTTTCGAAAGTACACCTGATATATCACACAGTGACCAGAGGTATGTAGTGATCAGATATGTGATAATCCACAATGGGAAAGTTGAAAAGAGAGAAATGTTTTTTGCATTTTTCATGTTAAGATTGAAAAAAAGCTGATGACCTCAGTTCTGACATTCTTACAAACTAAAGCGTGATGGACTAGACATAATGATGTTCAGAGCTAAGGGTTAAGATAATGCTGCCCTAATGTATGGAATCCATGGAGGTGTTCAAGCCATTCGGAAAAAAAAAAGATAAGAAAGCAATTTTTAAGGATGTGTGGGCCATTCACGTGTGTGGTCAACACTCTTTTGCAGATAATGCTTCATGTATTACATTATTTGCTACTCTGGAAAGAACATTTTCTTTCTTTGCTGCATCCAATAATCGATGGAATGTTCTAATTGAACACACTGGAATGTCGGTAAAAAGACAGTCAACAACGCGTTGGAGTGCTCATCATGCTACTCTTAAAACAGTGAAAGATATGTTTGATGAATTCTGGGAGGCGATTAAAGCTCTATGTTATCACCTTGTAAAAATTTGCATACAAGAGGTTAAGCACAAGATCTTTTACAATTTGTCTGTGATTTCACGTTTATCTGCTACCTTTAACTTTGGGCTGATCTACTTGAGGAAGTTAATCTTACACAGCAGTATCTGCAGACTAAAGGCTTTACTCTTGACGAAGTGGTGACAAACCTAGAGGCATTAAGATTGTTTCTGCACGAGAAGCGCCGTCACTGGGTGGAGAATGGTATTGAAAAGGAACTTTTAAAATCAGACCAATATGGAATTTTGGCAGAGAGAAGATTAAGGTTTAAGAAGAGAATGCCAGGATAACAATAATTAGTAGATGCTGGACTCCATCTGCGAGAAGAAAACAGTAGGGAGATGCTGGAGTGTATTGATCGCTTTCAATCTGAACTCCACATCAGATCATCAGTGATCAAGGAAGTACCAGATATTTTTGGGTCTGTTCAACCCAAGAGTCTAGTATCAGCACGTGAAGAAGATTTATTGGTGTCCATTCCAAAAGTAACTTCTTTCAATGATGAGTAATCAGAAGATGAACTTTTAAAAGAAATATCAAGGCTTAAAAGACATCTAAAAGCAGCTGATTTCTCAAAGTCATGGACTGGTCAGTATTTTATTTTTTGAAATTCAAAGCTGAATGGGACTTCCTAGAATCTTTTCCAATACTCTCGCTTTAATTTTTTCTTACGACATGTGTGTATGTGGCTTCATGTGAGCGGAGCTTTTCAAAACTAAGGCTTATCAAGAAATATTTATGATCCACCATGTGACAGTCAAGGTTTTCTGATGTGGCTCTGCTGTCAATTGAAAGTGATACAGTGAAAAACATTGATTTTGATCAAGTGATTGACAGGTTTGCACTCTTTGAAGACAAGGAAAGGAAAATTTTAAATTGTAAATTTAAAGTAAATACAGCTATAACTTAACGTTTTTAAATATATTAACTTCATGAACTTTGATTTATTTGTTTTTGTTCTTGTTATATCGTGGAGTTATTTTAACAAGAAAAAAATCATCCCGCGTTGATAGGTGATGTACTGAGTGTGTCATCACTTACCGCGTTGATAGGTGATGTACTGAGTGTGTCATCACTTTGGGGGGGGGGGGCGGGTGGTGACACCATGAGTTTACCGCACCGGGTGACACCAACCCTAGCTACGCCACTGAGTTTAGCGATAACATTTTGCTTCACAATAGGCCTGAATTTCCCCAGACCCCCTTCCCCACTTTAAGATAAAAATGACAAACAAAAATAACATTCCTGAGGAGGGGAGGGACCCCCCACACCTCATTTTGGTATTAAGGCGTCCTCATTTTTTGGGATTAGTTGAACACATTGTTAGGGTTTTGACTAGGTTTAGCAATAAAATTTTGCTAAGGACAAAATTATTTATTTGTATCTGGTATCTGCTATCTTGACCTTTTTTTTGTGACTGCTATTTTGTTGCGGATGAAGGGAAGTGTAGGCCTACTGACTGTGGAGTATTTGCACTTAGGGTGAGACAATAGCCAAAACCTTTACTATAAACTAAACATTTACCATAAGTTTTTAAGGACACATTTTTGATATTTAAATATAGAGCTGAAGTTAAAACTATTTGCGTCATGAATGGCATAGGTGACCTTATGTCTAACACTATACCCAATTTATATATTGTATCAATTCAAAGCTCTATAAATAGCCTCTGTTACTATTATAGTCCTAAAGTTAAAATAATATATGTTATGTCACAAAGTTGAATAAGTCCTATTTATAAAACATATAACTCTGTAAGTTTTTCTGTTTATGATCATACAATCGTACAAGTGTAAAGCAATCAAGACCAAGCAATATTAAATGCTGAGAATTTCAGTTTTGGCTTGCTTAGACCTAAAGTTTCTTACTTTTAACAAGTCACTTTATGTCAGATATTTACAGACTGTTACAAAATTGACAGGTGGTTGGCAACCCTGATTTTAAGTCTATGCCAAAGCAAAGGGCACATAGCACCAATCAATGCCAAATAATTAATCACAATCAATTAAAAATATACCCCACCGTAACAGGTACTTTACAGTAGTCAGACACAGTTGTTACATGTATCTTTTAATTGGTTATATAGGCTAGATCAATATAAATTATCCTTTATTGGCATATCTAAAAAATATTTGTGATTATGAAAATACATTTAATAAGTTAAGTATGATACTATTATTTTATAGAATCAAACTGTTATATATATAAATAATTATTATCCAAACTATGTAGGCTAGCATATATTATGCATTAATTCAATATACATACTTTACATTATTACACATCTTGTCTCAGTAAGATGGTGTAAAAATTAGTTAATCATCATCAGTTGCGCTGCAGCCCACGTAGAGCCCTGGCATGCTCCACCACATCCTTTCGTTCCGATCGATGCTCGGACCCTCAACTGATGCAAGCCCTTCTCTAAATCAATCCATCTCAGTCTTGGTCAACTGGTGTGCTGTCGGCTTGTAGGTTTTGCATGTAGAATATTTTTGCTGCTATACAATCCGGTATCCTGTCAATGTGTCCTGTCCAGCTCAGTCTGCCTTTTTTAACTGTTGAGACTATGGGTGTGTCTTCAAATCATTGATGCAGCTCTTGATTTTTATGGATTCTCCATCCATCATTGTCTATCACAGGACCATATATTTTCCTGAGGATTTTCCTCTCTCATGTGTTGAGCAGGTTCTATGCTTTTCTGGTGAGTGACCAGATCACACTTGCGTATATTACACCTGTTCTAATGATAGTGGTGTAAATGGCTTTTTTTTTCTTCTTGATTGGTTTTTGCTACCTAGTAGCTTTTTTAGCCTGAAATAAGAACAGTTGCCTGTTATCCTTTCTTTCACCTCTATCATTATTTCATTGTGCTCAATTATAGTAGCCTCTCTTTTAAAGGTGTGGTTTCTTATTTTGATGTTTTCACCAGTATGTGTGTTTAGTGACATTACCATATAGCTTGTCTTTGCTTAAATTACCATTTAATTATGTCATTTGCATAGTGTTTTTCTGAAAGTAGTTTTTGATGGTTCCACTGGTGCTCACATAGCTTTGTCTAATGTGATGTTAAACACAGGATACATGATTGTGAGTCTCCTTGTCTCCCTCGAGCACCCTCCCTGTATTTTGATTCTACTATATCAACTACATCTTGACTTTAACAAACATTCCAAGTGTTATTATTGGTACCATACCAGATTTAGTGCTTTAACTTTGGATTTAACAATCTTCATATGGATAAGCCTGGTAATTTTGTTAGGGACTATGCCTTAATTTGCAGTTTATCATTCATCTGTTATTATTTCATAAGAAGGACCACACGACATAATTGTTAGCTGTATGAATTTTTTGCTGTCTCTCATTTATGACAGCACATGCCTCAGAAATAGGCATCCAAGTGCACAAAACCTGTGTCTACACGGTAACGTAGGCCTTTGCATGATAATTACATCAAGGATGTATGTGAAACAAGGTAAAGGAAATCCTGAAAAAACGATGTAACAAAACAACAAAAATATCAGCAAGAAGAAACATTAAGTTACAACAATATAAAAATTAAAATAAACACTTAGCTGAAATATATTATCTGAAGGTACAGCAAGAGGAATGTAAAAGACCATTAGTTGGCAAGAGAGTTAATATAGGCAATAGGAGAAGAAATAGAGGAAAAGTAAGTCCACTTTTGGTTGTAACAAGGAGGGGGCACAGAAAAGTGAAGGAGAATATGACATTCATGCTATGTGGTGTCAAGGTCCCATAGGTGTGTCTAAGTTTGTTCTTTAAGTTCACGCTGCTGAGATTGTTGGTACAGGAAACAATTTTGATGATGGCCAAGTCACGTAAGCCCTTGTGCTTGCTTTATTGTATCTTGACTTAAACAAACATTCCAAGTGTTATTGTTGGTACCAGATTTAGTGCTTTAATTTTAGCTTTCTATTATATTCTTTTCTAAAAATAATAATTATTAAAATAAAAAATTTGTTCTACTAAGAGCCCAACCATAATCCCTGCAATTATAAAAGGCAGGCTGCATTGGAAAGGACACCTTGTTAGGATGCCAGATTATAGAAAAGTAAAGGTACTTTACAGACAAACCAAGGGGCAGGCTGCTCCAACCCAGACTGAGATGGATTGATGATGATGATATAGCAATGGATTTCCTTAAAAGGGGGGTCTGCGTAGAGACAAAAAGTCATGGATCTGTCTGAATGGAGCATGCCAGAGCCCTTCATGGACTGTAGCATCATTATTGATGATGATGATTTCTGTATTTTTATGTTGTTATAAAAAGCATACAATTTTGCAACTTGAGGGAAACACAGGTCAGGATTCACAGTTTTGATTAGTACAGTTTGTTGGTAATTAAATAATGGGGAGAAATCTTTGTGATGGGAATCCTAATGTATTGACCAAAACTCAATAATTTTTCCTTATCCTAGTTTTCAGTCTTTTCTGTTATGATGCACTCTGTGGCCTTGGTAATGCCTTGGAGCTTGATGGGTACATCCCAAGCCTTAAATCAACTAATTTGACAGAGGTAGAACCATACTTGAAAACTGCTCATGGCACAGTGATATCCTATTGGAATGGAATTGTCCATTTTATTCTATGTCTCTCAGCCATTGGACTTTACACTCACAGGTAAAACTTTCCTTAATATAATACGGCAATTTCTTGAAGATTTATTTAAACATATTCTTAGTTTTTGATCACTCTGGCCCTTTAAAAAAAAAAAAAAATTAGCATGAAATGTGGACCTAGGAATATTACTTTTAACTTTTGATTGCTTCACTTGTTTGTACATAGGGACAGTCACAGGGAAGTGAGTCTCTATTGGGCAGGCTCCTTAATTAACAGCATGGTGGTTCTTTTACCTGGGTGTTTTACTGGTAAGTTAAACTTTGGATTTGATGTTAAACTAGAAAACAAATACACTATTTTGATGTTATAGTCAACAACTTTAAGACTGTTGCTGGGAAAAAAAAGTATTATTTCTTCCAAGAAATTTTCAAAATAATCTATTTACTAGCATTTTGCTGTTACCTTTGTATGACATATTTGTGTGGGGTGGGGGTGTCAATTATTAGACATGTGACAAATGTGAATGATGACAATTGTTTAGGATGTAAGAAGATGTTAAATGAGTCAACACACTTGGGTTGAAATATATATAAAGATTTATTGTCTATGTACACACTTCAATACAGCTTATCAATTTATATACCATCCTGAACAACTATTAGGAACATATTCAACACATGTCAGGTTCTGTCAAAAGATCTGCCTGGTTGAATATCTAGCGTAGACTATCAAACACTAACTGCACAACACTACTACTGATCTACAGAACGGAACTCTACAACTCAACTACTGAACTAATTCCTGCTATATCTCACACAGTATTCATACCACCCCACACCTAAACCCACACACTACCCCGCTGACTTGTATTCCCCATGTATAAAATGGCGAGCTGAGCTTTAATACCCCCCCCCCCCCACTGTGGCTCTACTTTATTCTTGAGCTTTCCAATAAGTTGACATTTCGTTATAAAGAGCTAACTTTCAATAAAACCCACACTCATGACCTGGACACTGAATAGTCCAATAACTTCAGTATGGAGGGTAAAATGTTGAACATCATCTCTGCAGTGGTTTCATGGTCTGTATCTCTAAGGTTTTTGAAATCAGTTTATTATACCAGATCCCATTTTAAAATTTTAGTATAATGTTAAACAGGAGTGACCTGCCATGTTAAAAATAGCAGCCCGCGATGCCTAATTTAACACAAAAACGTATTAATTCTTCATTTAATAGATGAGTAGATTGATATATAAAACAAAAAAAAAGGATAATTGGGAGAAAAGATAAAATGACATCACATTCTTCTACTTTTGCTATGTTTTATTTTTTCATTATGAGTACCGGGTATTAAGAAAGATAGATAGTTCTAATGTGCCTCTGGTGCGTTTAAACAAAAATAGATTTCAATATAAGTTGTAATTGGCATGCTGCTCTGTATCAATTGGCCAGCAAAGCCTTTTGGGTTGGCCACCTCTGCTGTAAAACATTTAATTTTAAACTTATTGTCTCTTTCATCCTTTCATTTATGTGGGGCTGAGATTTTATCAGACAAAAACATTCTAATATAATATGCAAATTTTGCTTATTCTTAAATGAGATACGAATTAGCCCACTGTGGAAAGCTTATTATGTTTGCCTGACTTTTATTTGTTTGTAACATTGTTGATAGGGGATATGAGTGCATGACAAGCTACTTTTTACAGTTTCTCTAATACTTTATTTCTTCATGCCCAGGCTCTGTTAAGATTTCAACTTACTTCAACAGTGCATTTGTGGTTTTACCAATAGTTGTTATCTTCTACTACATCCACCACAGTCCTTTGCAGGCTCGAACCTTTTTAAAGGTAATTGGAACAATTCTTAGGCATAAAACACACATAATTATTACACTAATAAATAAATTATTTAAATCAAACATTTTAATAATATTTTGTTTTTGACAGTTCTCCCCTATCTGGAAGCGGCCAATAGATTTATTTTTTCTCATCTGCTACATATTTTCAATAGCAGTGGCTGTCTTTCGAGGATTGGTAAGAAAAATTACTTTTTAGTGTTGTTTAGTTAGAATGATAATTACATTTTTACTTATGCTTTCATTATAATTATAAACAAAGTTACTTAAAATTTTTAATGTTTTTTAAATTTTATTTTTTATTTTAACTTTAGTTGTTAATATTAACTTATGAAATTCACTATCTTTCACTAGGCAGTTCTTGGTGGTAGTCCAAAATGTATGACCCAGTATCTGAAAGAATATGAGCCATACCTGTCTGATCCATCAAATTTCCCCAAATTCCAGGTAATTTTTATACCACAAGTCTCAAATTCTAAAACTGTAATTACTATTTACTAATATGAAATTTTCATTTGCATATTTTGTTACAGCTGTTTAAAAAGGATTACTAAAAAAAAAATTCCCTTTAAATAAAGATTTTCAGTTTTTACTGTTTTTTGGATTTTTTCCCTTGCTTAATCTTATTGTTGGTATCATTTTCAGGTTTTGACATACGAGTACATTTTCTTAGTATACTACTTGTTTGCAATCTATGGCCTACTCTATCCAGGACAGCACTGGATGGCTGACTGGTCTCTTATACATGCTGGAGCATCTGCACAGGTCAATTTTTAAAAATATTACTTCTGTTGTAACTAGTTTTTTTTTTTTATTGTTCAGTTATAAATTTCATGCCTTAATTTATGATTATGAAATATATAATGAAACTTTTATTGGTTTACTCAGGCCCAGTTCAGCTACATCTATGGATCACTTCATCCCCGAACACCCAAAGCCTTCCACTCACCACAGGCAGGCAATCCTGCTATTGTATTTTGGGGTGTTAACTTGGCATTGTTTGTTATCCCGCATCTCTTTGCTTGGTGGTGCCAAAGAGACCCCGAAAATTATGGTCGGACCTACACTGTGGACCTTGCAACACCAAAGTCATCGTTTTCTGGACGTTCAGTGAGGTATCAAAAGAAGAGAGAATAACTGACATTGTACTGTTTTGTGTCATAATAAATTATATCTTTAGTTAAGACCCTTTATTCAGGTTTTTAGCCAATGTCTTACATTTTATTTAGGTGCTGTTTATAAAAATTTCTTAAGGACCTGAAATACAAACATGTGCACTGAAACATATTCACATAAAGAAATATAAAACTAAGCGGTTCTGTCAAACAGTTCACTTACATCATACAACTTCATAATGTAACCTAAGCTTCCAGAGAATACATAACCTTCGAAATGTTGTTTGATTCTGAATCTCTTCTATGGTTTTAAATCTACTTCCTTTAGTTAGGCTTTGTCGATTGCTAGTAAAATGCTAGGTCAGGAAATCTTAAGCATTGATGTTATGTTTAAAAAATAATTTCTAGTAAGTTAAAGCAGTTTTGTTTTAGTCTCTTTAAGTTAAAGTAAGCAATATCTTTGTTATTGTATTTCATATTAATCTTCAGTTGAAATTCTCAACCTTTGACAGTTGGGAGTACCGTACTTACTACATTAAAAATGTTAAAGCAGGTTTAGATCTACAATTTTTTAACCTTAACATGACATTATTTATTTTTTGCTGCAGTACTCTGCACTACTAACTTCAGCACTTTCCGTGCGGACATTTTTTTTTTTTTTTTTTTTTTGAGGAACACTGAAATTCATAAATTAATTTTTGGTTGAGGGAGAAATTTTTTGCAACTTAAAAAGTTAAATATTTCATTTTTTTTTTTTTTTTTTTTTTTTTTTTTTTCTGTTTTCTTCCCTTCTTACTTTCGCCCTTTTCGTGCGGACATTTTTTTTTTTTTTTTTTTTTTGAGGAACACTGAAATTCATAAATTAATTTTTGGTTGAGGGAGAAATTTTTTGCAACTTAAAAAGTTAAATATTTCATTTGTTGTGTTTAGGTGATAATTTCTAAAAGTGTTCTTACCAAAAGTCTATGAAATGAATTTAAAACATTTTTCTATGTTTATCAATTTGTGTAATGTAATTCACTGTTACTTTAGAGCAATAGATTTTTAGAATTCATTTTTTTTTTAATTTGGGTGATATGTAGTACCTTTATTCAGAACGGTCCGCTTTCAAACATCTATGGAATTAAGGTTTTCAAATNGGGGGGGGGGGGGTATTCAAAATATTGAGAAGTCACAACTATCCAATGTATAGTTAAAACACGGTCAGATTTTGTAACCCGCATTCTCCATATTTATGCATCATGTCTAATTGCATAAAAATGAAACTTTAGTTGTCGCCATTTTATCGTTAATATTATCATCATCATTGCTAGAATATTTAACATTTGCTAGGATATTTTAATGTCATGCACTCAATACCTTTTTTGAATGATCAACCAGAATGCTGTGTACTCTAATTGTATTGTAAATAAACAGCAGAGACTGATGGTATAAATTGATGCATGTGTAGTCATAATTCATTTTATCCACTGCAGACATCAGTCTTATTTTTCTTTTAATTAAATTTTTTTTTTTTTAAATTGAAAACAGATGGGAAAAAATGGTCTTAATTTAGCTCACGATTATTATTATTTTATAAAGAATAAGGAAATGGGTTGCTGATTAAAATGGTCCTTGATTTTGTAAAGAAGTGTTTCTAACCCATATTGGAAGCTTTGTCAACACTATTGGTTTACAGTATAAGACTGTAAATCAATAATTTAAATATTTAAGAAAAAGTTTTATTTTTGCCAACAAAATTAGTTTTATTAATAACTGTTACTTCAACTTTTTGAGCAGTGTGATTTATACATTACTTTAAAAAAATGGAGCTTATATTACGAGTTTTACCAACTTTTTAGCCAATGATGTGGGGCAATTTTTAAAGCTCATTTTTATTTCTTGCCTGCGTGTTAGTGTATTTATTTTGGAGGTTTGATAACCATACTCATTTATAGTGTATCCAAACTATATGTACAGAATCATTATTTCATCAACCATTGTTGTCAACTCTCATGTGTTTAGTTTATTACATATCTGATTCTGATTTATTTCACACCAATACGACTTCTCATGAATATGTAAAGCCAGAGGCAGCAATTTACTTGTTCGTTTAATGAAGATGCTTTGTGAAATACTCAACGGGTGGTGGAGACTTTTTTTCTATTTGAGTAGCATTACATTTTTAGGGAAAAATTTATCTAGAATCTAGCACATTTATAGTAAAATATAGTTTGGATGTACATCATCCATTATTTGTACCCACATTTTAGCTGCCTTAGTTTTTTAAAATTTATTTCCTGTTTTACATCTGCAATAAGTGACAGCATTTATATTTAAAGCTGGTGTTTTCTCTATTGTTCTTTTACATCTGTGTAATATTTAGTGGTGTAAACTAAACGACAATGTGCTCTTGCCATATTATGACACCTTTTACGTTTTCTATCAATAATTTTTAATTTTTTTTTTTTTACAAATGTAGATTAACTCATTTCCCATTTTTTTGTTATGTTACAAGCAATATTCTTTTATTTGTGTATATTGCATGTTTTAGTTCTAGAAGTTCTTGTATCAATAAATATATACTAAGCTATATTAGTTGCTAATATTCTGTCATACATATATTACATTAAAATGATGCTTTTCAACTTTTTTTTTGTCTTATGAAACATTGGAAATATTTTAATATTAGGTTTTCTGGCAACCCATTCAAACTATTGACAGTTTCTGTGAGCAGCAGCTTCCAAAGGAAATTATTGTTAAAAGAAACAAGGATAACAGTCCATCCAAAGTATTGGTGAAAAGGCATGCACCCCCATTGTAATTTCAGTTTCTATCATTTACATTGCGACACACCTCTGATTCTTAGACTTAGAGACACCAATTTGTCATGACCTTGTGGTTAAAAGCCACTAATTTTTAGTATTTCCGAAAAATACACAATCTATAATTTTTCAGTGATTATGTAAGTTTATTGTACAAATTTAAAAAAAAAATCAGTTAAAATAAAAGGCAATATAAGGTATACAAGAATTGTTGAAGAATGCACATTTAAACTGCACAGCAATAGTTAAATAGCTGAAGTGTAGAGCATAATAATTTGATGTCTTTGGGAGGTACATTTTTGTAAATTAGAGTAACTTGCCAGGACACCAACTACTTTTTCCACTTCTGAGTAGTTCCTAATTCCTGTTTGATGTTTCTAATTCCAGTAAATTGAGTAGATCTAAAACAAACCCAATAATGTTTTTGTTTTTTTTAAAAATCATATACTTTCAATATGAATAATTTCTTCTTCAAGTCATGGTATTGCCACACAATCCATGTTTACATAGCTTTATAAAGCCCAACAACGGCCTCGACCAATAGTATGAGAGAAGAACAACCTCAATTTTTCTCTTCTCAAAAATTATATTTTTCTTTTAATCAGTCGTACCCCATAAACCAATATGAGTCAATTAAAAATTATTGAATTGAAAAAAAGTGCAAACATTTTCTGTGGAACCTCTATATGACTTAGAAAATTGAAAACAGAACTAATAATATGTAATAAAAAAAACAGTTAATTCAATATTAAGCCATAATGTAATTTAAATTTTTAAAAAATAAGATTCCAATTCAATCTAAATGTTTTATAAAAATGTTATAATTTCTTAAGAGGATAATCTTCATTTGGTTTAATTAACAAAAAAGTGTTGTGGCCACCTCAGCTTTTTCCAAGTCAAATTTACAGCAAAAGCTGAATATAAAGCTGGGCATTTCATTTAAACAATCAGAAATGTGTTAAGGCATGCAGCAAATAGAAGAGAAAAAAAGAGGTACATGTGACAGCACAAAGTAGTTTGAACTGACCATAATTGTTGCCCTAAATGAAACTAGCAATGCATTATAATTGAAACTGGGTTTTTAAAAATAGTTAATACATTTAACACAATTTACTGAAGCTTAGACAAATCCAAATATCACAAGAGCATGTCATTCAGCTAACATTGATCCACAGTTCACTAAAAGCTCACACATTTGTTACCAGGGAAGACAATTGACTAGATTTGTATAATGTAAAGGGAATGATGTGGTTTATGATTTAGGAAAATATCAAAACTCAATGAAAATTAGTTCTTTTATTTCTGAAAAAAAAAAAAAAAATGGTCGAGTGAAGCCTCTAGTGTAATTTGATGAAATTGGACAACTCCATAGCTTCTACATGCACAAGAAATTCTCCAGTAGAAAGAAAGGTTCTTCTATAAAGACAAGATTGAATTACAATATTTGACATTTTGCACAAGAAATTCTTCAGTGGAAAGAAAAGTTCTTTAAAGACATTGAATTACAATATTGTACATTTCATCCAGACTTTTAAATGCATCAAATCACCCCCAATGACTTAAATATTAATATTGTGACATCATATGCTGATACTAATCCTTTTTTTATTTATCTAAAAATACAATTTTAAAATTCAGATAATGAAAATCAGCACCCTGACAAAAATTATAAGCTCCAATGAAAACTACAATTGAATTTTGAATACAAGTAATGCAAGAAAAAAAAAAAAAAATTTTGTTTAGAAGGATGACTGTTGCTGATATTTATAGAACCTACGTAACTTTTTGTCTGTTTATAGTTATATAAAATATTCAAGAAGGGAATGTTAGATTTGTTTGCATTATGTCAAAGATATGGAGGGAGGAGGAGAAACAAGTTGAACAACTGTGATCAGGTTTGCTAAAAAGGAAATAAGCACACCTTTAAAACCTTTTCTTGTGATACGTATTTCCTGCATTATGATCACCATTTCTCTTTGTTATGACAGTCTATTGCAGATTACTGTTTTTGATGTTAAAAACAAAACTAACCACAATTAAAAACATAATTTACAATCCGTTTCATAGCTAAGCAAATGGAAAGGCAAGATTAACATTAATATACTGGTAACAATAATATAATTAACAGAATATTTTGACCTTCAAGCTTAAAAATGAAATTATAGTATTTGACAATAATGACATCAATAATTATTAATTAGCCTTCAAAGTAATTGATTGGCACCTGGACATGCACACCAATGACAAACACGCAAAAAAAACAAAAGAACATAGGTTTTAAGTTAAGTTCAAGCTAAAATATACAGAATAAAATTTTCCAACAAGCTTCTCATTCATTTTACCAAGATTCATTCAAGAAATAAATAATAGAATACTATTAGTAAAATAATTTCCTCTGCTTCACACAGGGGAACTTTCTTCAATAAAATACTAGCCAAATAATATCTTTCATTTTGTAAGGCATACATGCCTAATAAACTGTAATGGATAATATGAGGGATTGTATGTTTGGGCTTGATAAAAGACAGGAATTACAAATGCAAGTGTCCTGTCTTTTTTTCAAGCCCAAACATATCTTTTCCACTATTTATTTTCATAAACTGTAAAAAGTTACATGAATTTAGTTTTTAAAAAACAGGCCCTGTCTCGGAATCAAAAACGTTTCTGTCAAAACATGAGTGGTTAACCACAGTAAACAAAAAAACAAAACAAAAGTAAATGCTTTAAGGAACTGAGCATTTGGTTTTGAACAGCAAAAAAAACAACAAATATGTGGTACATAAATGAATATACTTGCTTATTAAGTCACTTAAGTGCAATATTAAAAATATATATATATATAAATCATAGAAAAGCTCCTTGGGGATAAAGAATAAAAAGACATAAACAAAGTCTATGTCTGTGAAGTGTGAGGACAGTGCTAATTAATTTAGGAAACAGATGTGGTTTTTTCATTTTTATAATGGTCTAAAATATTCCAATTTAAGATTATAGATAATATTTTAAAATTGTCTAAATTCCAATCCTGACTGTGGTGCTTATATAAACAAATAAAATTGGTATAAACTTCTTTTAGGACCATTTACACTCTACAGGATGAAGTAAAAAGATATGCTCCGTGCCTTTCAAAGGCACTCTGTGCTGAGTATAGTAGTCTATCATCTCAGGGATGGAACAAAATTCTTTGCTGTTTTTGCCCAGAATGTAGCGTATGCTCCCATCCTCCATGTTGATCTGCTCTATTTGGACATGGATATATTGTTTGCTACTCCTGAAAAGTATAGATCAAGTATACAGTCTGGTGAAGCTGAAATTTATGTTTGGCAATATGAAATTTAATGGGAAAAAAATCTAAAACACGGTAATGAATGATACCTTTGCCTATTTAAAAATTAGTGAGAATGTGCTTTATGAGTCAGATGCTCTCAGATTGTATGTAAGCGGTAAGTATGGAACCCACCGATGATTGCAATGTATAAATGCTCCCTCTAAATTTTAAATACTTGAGTGCAACGACAACTAAGAGGAGCCTATAGTGTAATTGGACTTTCCAAATTTCAAATACCCTTTAGTATCAGTTCCAGTAACAATGTTTCATTAAAAAATCTGCAGTAATCAGAAATTCTGTAAAAATAATTACAGTTTTCAATTTTAAAGTATTCTTACTTTATTGAAAGAGAGTATGATTTCCTATCTGAACTTGTGCGAACAATGTAGCTTCCTTCTTTACAAACGCATAGCATTTTCTCTGCATCATCTCTACTGATATTTCCATGATACCAACTGTAATAAAGAAGCTAAAATGTTAAAATACAAAAAGGGAAAATAATGCATAATTTAAAAACCTCTTACTTTATTTTCCAGTATCTTAAAAACTCTTTTTTGAGCTTGATAATTTCCTCTCCCCTAGTGCATAGTTCAGTGGTCCTCAACCTTCCCAAAGTCACGACCCTTTAATACAGTTCCTCATGTTGTGGTGACACCCCAACCATAAAATTATTCATTGCTACTTCATAAATATGTATTTTCCGATGGTCTTAGGCAACCCCTGTGTAAGAGTAAAAGGGGTCGCAACCCACAGGTTGAGAACCGCTGGTATAGATCTTAAAATTGCTGGAATGAAACAAGTCAACATCTCAAAGTCATCAGCAGCAGCTGTAATCATTTATTTATTTATTTATTTAGGCATTTTTATATAGCGCTTATCATAAAGCTCTAAGCGCTTTACAGTTATTAAAACATGTAAACTAAGTAAATACAAATGAGACACTAGGATAGTAACTACTATTCTATAGAAACAATGAAAATGGCTATAAAAAGAGGACACTTTGACACTTCAGGATTAAACCGAAACAGAAAATTAGGTAGGGCAAGGAGGGTGCATCACAGGTCATAGGCGGACCTAAACAGATGAGTTTTAAGGGACTTTTTGAAAATGGACGAGGTTTCACTATGACGTATATGGAAGGGGAGCTGGTTCCAGAACGTGGGCCCATGGAAGCAGAAGGAGCGTTCACCGATGGTCTTAGTTTTAGTTCTTGGGATTGAGAGGGTTCTACTGTCAATGGAAGAACGTAGTTGTCTTGTGGGGATGTAAGGAAGCAACAGTTCAGAGAGATAGACAGGAAAGTGAGGGTCAGTGAACGAGTTGAAGCAAAGATTGGAAGACTTGTATTTGATGCGAGAGGATATTGGAAGCCAGTGGAGTTGCCGCATGTGTGGTTGAATGTGGTCATGTTTCTTTAATTTAAAAATGAGTCTGCATGCTGAGTTCTGTGCCTTCTGAAGTTTTTCTATGTGGTGTTGAGGAATGCCTGAGAGAAGAATGTTACAGTAGTCAAATTTTGAAAGAATGAGTGAAGAGACGAGAGTTTTTGTGGCATCAAAGGAGAGGAGGTGTCTAATGGTGCTGATTTTTCTAATTTCGTTATATGCTGATCTGCATATATTCGTGACATGTTTGTCCATGGAGAGGGTGTCCGTAAGCGTGACTCCAAGGTTTCTGGCAGAGAGAGTGTGATTTCAGAGTTGCCAATAGATATAGAAGAAGGAGCGAATGGAGGGAGAGGTTTGTTTTGAGAGTGGATGAGAAGGATTTCCGTTTTATCATCATTTAGCTTCAGTTTGTTGCAAGTCATCCAACGCTTTACATCGTCCACGCACTCCCTAGCCTATCATGGTCCCTAGCCTATGACTGAACTACTACTGGAAAACATGCTTTGCTCTACCTCAGGTCACAATGCTCTGCACTTCAAAACTTATCGCATCACTTCAGATGAATTTCCCAGAAACTCTGGAAAACGAGACATAACATAATTTTCAACTGAAAAATGAGAGCCAGTTTATATTCCAGTCTCAGGTGTTAAAACTTACTTTTGATTGGTCAGTGGCACTGTGGGATCTATTCTCTGTGCAAGGCTAGAGGATCTGCTCTTTAATTTTATCCTAGACTCATCAACACTGTGATACTCTTTATAAAGAAATTTTAAAAAATTGAAGCACATAAATATAAAAATAAATAACACACACTTTAACAATCATGAAGATTATAACACAGAAGTATGGAATTCAATAATCTTTGTAACGTATATACAAAGGTCAAAATTAATCAATTCTTTTGTTAAGATCATGTCATGCACATCTGAACTATATTTAAACACAGGGACCCATAAACAATTTTAATAGAGGTTTCAAATTATCCTTATGAAAGACAATACAAAACTCCATTAAATTTATTGAGAGGTGAACAAAATACATGACTTGGGTGTTTAGAGTTGTAGTGTTAAATTATACTTAAATTTTTAAGTTTTAATAATGGCTGAGTTAAAATTGCAGTCAATGCCAAGCACTTTCCAGAGCATGAAACGTGACTTGCTTTGGCACTTTTAAAGGGTACGGTAATAACAAGTCTCAGAACCAATGCTGTAACTAATTCTACACCTTTCCTGTTTTTTATGCCTTTCCCATTAAGCTACTCTCACTTGTATCTTGCCATACAAAGAAAACAAGACATTTGAGATTTTCAGGCTAATTTTCAGTAACAATAACTAATTTTGGGAAATAAAAATGTTTTATGTTAGACTTACTTCCCCTTACAACTGCTGCCTTTGACTCGGTTCCTTCCCAAACAGCATCATTAGCATCAGAGATTGATTTATGCCTTGCAACAGCTTCCTTCTCGTTGGGCTTTTCTCCCACACTTATCTGTGCTTGGTATTTGGCCTGTAAATGCTTTTGTTGCTTGCTGGAGTCCCAAGGTTCCTCATAGGTGGCTGAAGCTTGGAGTTGCATTTCTCTGAAATAGTATAAGGTGGTTTAAAAGGGGTTTAAAGCAATTTTTTCTCAGACTTCAGAAGAGGGGGGGGGGGGGGGGGGGGGTGGTGTCACATTTAAAAATAATACATACCTTTCAGGTGGGGGCTTTCTTAATGATAAAAAAAACACATAATCAAGAACTTAGACTTAGAGTTGAGAATAACCTTATTTTAAGTTCCAGAATGCTGTTCTTGAGATCCCATGCATCTTCATATGTGTTACTTGGTAAAGGTTTTAAGGCACCATCGGGTTGCTTACTGACTTCCTTCCTTACTTCAGCCTGTGGGTTGTAAGAGAAAGCAAAACAACTGAAATAACTAAGGGAGTATTATATTGACAATAAGAACCAAAAAAACAAAAGAAAAATCCCCAGCTACAACTAATCATATAAGAAAATTCATTTATCTAAATTAATTAAATTTACATGTTAAATGTTGCATATATACAATAAAACCTATGTCAAAAAATCAAGCACTCCATTACATGACAAGCAACTAATAATTTTGAAAAACTATAAAGTTAAAAAAAAAGAATAATTATCAATACTCTAATTCTTGTTGATATTTACAGGCAGAAAGATGTAGGCCTAATGCAAGATTTCCTATAGGAGTTTATTTAGGAAGCTACACTAAACCACATAAGGTCTGTTCATTGATTCCTGCTAAATTATTATACATTAAAATTGTGTTCAAATGACCTGTAATACAATCAAGTTAGGCCAAATACAACAATGACTATTTTAGGCAATTATATAGGGCTGCATAGATTAATCGGCAGTCAATCAGGCTTATCAGCAGTTTTGCAGATTAATCTGTAATAATCTAGTTGACCAATTAAATTAGCTTAACCCCCAACAGAAAATTCTTTCTAGATCATGATGTTAATTGAGTCCAGGATGTTTTTAGGGGATTTTATCAATCTATTGCAAATTAGATATGTGTAAGACTAAAAATGTGCCATCATTCATCCTCCCCGAAAATGCATTTCTAATCATAGGCCAGTTATCTTTAATTTGATGTCTGGCTGACTAGTGCAGCCCTACTTTTAGTGAAGGTCCACTCTAAAAAGTATAACCCCCCCCCCCCAAATAAATTTAAAAAGGGGCTTTTATTAATTAAATTTTGTAAAAGAAAAATGAAAAAAAAAAAGGCCTAGATCAACCTACCCCTAATGATCACCTGAAATATATGAGCTTAAATAACCAGGACTTTAGAAGCTGATAACAGGTTGTTAATAATTTGAAATGTTAATCAAATTAATTTGTTTAATGATATATGTCTGTAATTATTTTTAAAATTATCATTTAGTAAATTAAAGAAATTTCATATAATAAACATTCTGCTTAATGTTTAAAATGGGTACACGCTAATACTCGCTTCATGTGTCTACGTGTGTAACATACCACATGCTGGATCACAACCACATACTGCATGGGGGTCAAGCATTGGAGCCAAAATGTTTTATCAAAATGAGAGATGCTTTGACGGTTCTAAAAACAGATTTCAGTTATTGCTTACAATCTTATAAAATTTGTTAATCTGACCTCACTGTGTGGAACAGTTGAAAATGCATTGTAAAAAGGTGATAAGGGGTTTAAAACCAGATTTCTATAACCTATAAGAGGTTTGCAAAAAAAAAAAACAAAAAAAAAAAATTAAACGTCGTTACGTCTTTGTATAATAATGAGACACAAAAAATTATATGTAAATAAAACGATATATGTTAGTTTCATTTTGATTAGAAAATTTTCAAATTCAAATGCTTCAGCAAATGCTTTAATTAGTACAACAACAAAAATTAATATAATTTTAAAAATATAGAAAAAAAGGAGACAAAATGATGAAGTTTGCATCAGATCCCTACCTTCTGACTTTGAACATTGTCCAATGCATCGAGGAAGACTTCAGTCTCTGATGTTTGGGATATACTTCTGTCACAGCTCTTGTTACTTTGGAGACTGTCTCGAGCATCTTCATATACTGAAGCAACTTTCTTCACAGCTGGAATTTGTGGCTCAGCTTTTTTAGCATTCTCTTTTTCTTTTCTCTCTTGCTCCTGTTTCAACCTTTTCATTTTCAAGTCCCATGGTTCCTCATATGTGACTTCTTCCCCAGCACCAGGAGGTTTGCCCATGCTATACACAAAGTCCTGTCGTGGCTGTTGTGTGGTTTTTGATGAAACCTTAGAAATATTCATTTCTGGTTGGGACAGATGGGATTTCTTATTGCTGGGATTAATGCTGGTATGGCTCTCACTCCTGGTGGTGGCAATTTTTTTTTTTGCTTTGGTTGCATCTACTTGATTTGAAGAAATGGCAGACGCTACTTCATATTCTATCTCTACAACCTTCTTGCCTGGTCGCTTTTGAGGCTCATGAGAAGATGACATTTTGTATTTTTGTTTGTCTTTCAGCACAGACTCAGAAATTGGAGAAATTTGAGATGAACTTAGTCTGTCCTCATCTTTTAGGAGACAAGGAGAATCTTCAGGCCCTTGGTGTCTGTGCTTTGCTGATCTTGGTTTTGGAGATGGCTTGCGTGTGGATGTCACATTATGATTATCATTAGGAAGCTTTGCCAGTTTGTACGCACTTTTGTCATCTTCTTCTAATTTAGATGGTATTCCTTTTTCCAAGTGAATGGCATCTATTTAAAGAAAGCTTTAAAGTGATTTTTTGATCAACATTTCCATAATGAACTAAAGAAGAACCAATGCAGAAAAAAATATTTGAAGTGTGTGATAAATCAAAAATAGCCTATGTGTAAAATAACTAAAAAACTATTCATTCACCAATATATTTCATAACATCCTAGCAAACTTGTATTGTGTCAATCTTCTCCATTGTTAAAATTATGTTTACATTATCATTTATTAAAAGACATGAGATATGTACTTCTATGTTGCAGCTTGTAACACATCTACTCCGACATGGCGTGGGATCTTATTTCTTATGCTGTGGGTTATGTCAGTAGTATGGTTACTTATGTTCAGGATGCCGACTAAGACTTATTCATTCTTCCACTTGTTATCCAGGCACGCAAAGAAGAATGCTCAATTCCGGTTAAACCTTACAGTACTTTATTGAAAACACTTGACACTGATAATAATAGTAATCCTTGCATGAATGTAAATAATTTCACACATATATATAGTATTCTACCATTCAGAAAGACACGTCCTCACACTACTATAACTCAGCTCAACTGCCTAATCACACAGCTCTCCTAGCTCTACTGTTCTCTACTGCTCCACGCTCAGCTCTGACTATCCCAGACAACTCATACTTTTATTACCAGCAAAGCGTGGAAAACAACCGCTCTGACAAAAACATAGTTTTACTCTCCAAAAACGTGGAGCTCACATTGTCCTCTCAAAATACAATTCATTGTCCTCGTGGACAAAGCATGGTCAACACCATTCACTGTTCACTCATGCTACCTCTCTGTTTTCATGTGAAAACATTGTCCGTTACACAGCTTTCATACTTTTTTATATAATAAATGTACTTCAGCTTGAAGGATCTTGATAAGAATTATTAAAATAAATAATACATTTGGATGTAAAAATCTAGTTAACAAGAAGTACCTACCATGAGGCTGAGCATATCTGTAGTCTGGATCAGAATTGTAATCCTCATCCACCGATGCCTTTAGTTTCCGAGAATCAACGGGTTCACAATATTCACCTAAAGTGGCCTGAAATTCGGGAAAACAACAAAAACGATCTAATAGCGTTACCAATATCATTGAAATATCATAAAATTAATAAGTAAAAAATCTTTAACTAATTAAAGAAAAGCTTCTTTTTGACAATGAAAAATAATAATTTAATGGGCCCCAAATGATTTATTTAAAGGTGAAAACATTGCTTAGATTATTTTCTAAAGGTACATCTATATCACATAGAGGGACATCCAACAATTGAAGTCACATGGTTTTAAATGGGGTTTGGGCACTCCCTTTGACTGATCACAAAAATTCAACCCAAAATGACATGTCAACAAACAAAACAACGCTCCCCTCCCCACCTAAACTGTTTTGAAAATAAATCATGCTTAAAATGGTGTGAGTACTATTTGAATGTAGAAATGAATTCTCATTTGGTTCTAAGGGAAAAAAATTGAAATTAGAAAGCTGAAAGTAATAGTAATTTTACTTCAAGAGTGAGTAAATTGGCATTCTACTAAATGTAATTTTATTTCTGCTCTTAGTAGCTAATGTTATTAAATGAGATATTAAATTCACACTATCAGGAAATTATGATAGCAAATGATGTATTATATTCATGCTCTTAAATAAATTATGGTAACAAATTAAATAAGTTGCACTTTAAGCTTTATGTTTCATTCCAAAGAACTTCTATCCCCAGCCATGTGATGTCAAGGGACGGTGACTAATATTAGAAACTATTTTTAATCACATTTTTTTCTTAACTTAAGATAATGCACCAAAATCTTCCAAGAAAAAATGCAGGCCAAATTTTTTACTTTCTATATGAAAAAGTTCAGAAAAAAACATTAGAATGCACTTACTGTTTTGTCGGACAGAACGTTGGTTGGTATGGCTCTTGAGTAGTTATCTAACTTATACTTTTGGAGAAACCCTTTCTTTAGGTCATTACTCATCTTGTGAAAATCATGAGGATTTTAGGCATCATGCCTTTAACAATTGACTGTCAGGAATATATATATATTGGTAATACAATTATACAAGAAACATGAATTATAAAGAAGTTTTTCCATACCTTTTGTCTGTGGAATGGTTTCAAGGATTACTGGAAAAAGTTTGAAAGAAATTTTGTCGACAGAAAATTGATAGATTATAGCATCTATTTTTTTTAACGCACTATACTATATAGTAAAAACAAAATAATGCGTTCAAAAAGAAATTTGAACCAAAATTAGATAGTGTGAACTGAAAATAAAATTCAACCAAACTTCTGTTCTATCGAATTTCTGTTCAATCAAACTTCCATCGATCAATTTTCTGCCGACGAAATTTCTTTCAAACAAATTTCCAGCTCCAGGTTTCAGGTCGTCAAATGAAGTTCAAATAAAATAATTTTTTCATCTTTAATCTAATTCACAACCGCCACAGCACAAACAATGGAGGTGAAGAAAACAAGAAGAGTGATTTGATGTGTTTTCTTTTTATTTTCAGAATTCATTTCCAACACAGTTGGCTAAAGCAAAAAAGAAATATTTTCTTGTGTTAAACTTGAAGTATATTTTCCATACAGCTCTGTTTTAGAATTATAACATTTTCATAATCAATTTTTACTCAGTGAGAGTCACATCTTATCCCTTTCACAAAAGACAAAAAATATTTGAGCATTCATTTTTTTTTCTAAGCTGTATTTTTTAAGGCAATGAAAAATAATTGATTCAGAGTAAATTAAATAAACACTGTAATTTCTTCATTTCCAATCAACTTTATGAGTGAAAAATCATCAAGCTTTATTAATGGTGTTACATTTGTATTGTAACTAAATACAAAGGAAGCTTGAAGTTCAAATTCACTGTGATGGCCTTCTTAGATTAGCCTACACAATCAAAGCAGCCCTACCCAATAATAGCTGGATAGTAATCATAATCGTATGAGACATAGAACTCTTATAAGTAGGCTATATAACTATAAGATCTATAAATTTACTAAGATTAATCTAAACACTGAATTTATGGTAAATTATGATAAAAAATTATGAATCAATCACATTCCCTTCATTATTTCATCATTCAAATTGTCCCAATCAACATTATCATTAATTAATAATTATTGATACATAAAATTCTAAGCCCTAACTTTGGCCCCATTTAATTCAATTACGGCTGGTATCTTAATTGATAGTAAATTTACTATCTAAATTATTATATTTATATAAAATACTAACACATAATAAATTGGGCACTCCTAACTCAACTCAACCGAGTCAACTCAACTGCCACTCATCCCACTGCGGCTTACGCGTCTTCAGACATTTAGGCCTACGGTACATTATTAGCTTATTATGTTTAAGCCTTTTTCTTTAGTAATTAAGGAGGGTGGAATAACTGTTATTTACCTGGCATTCAACCTGATGAATACGACTACATAATGTATTCATGAACTAGGATGTCAAGAGTGTTTTTGTCAGGAGTTGACACATTGGAAAAGTTGAGTTCTAAGATTTTTTTTCTTCCGCGTTTAGTGAAACTCTTGAATGGAAAGAAATCATTAAAATTATTACCCATTCGGAAAATCTAAAATAGTCCACATGAATCACATGATAAAACACAGGGTTTTGGGACAGATGTCTAAACTTAATGTTAGAGCACTTATTTAACAACAAATAATCGCGTCCCATAATTCATAAATAATATAAGCTCATGATATATAGTAACATAGGCCTACAGATTAAACTTTGAACCTCTATTAAAAATTAAACGACCCCGTCCCCTTATCAATAACTAATAACTAGAGTAGACAATTTATAATATTATAATATCCTTGCAAAATGGATTAAGTGACATTTACTTCAAAATTAAAACAAGGACAGATAAAATCGTTTTCGCTTTAGCTGTCGAGAATTAACAATTAATTGTAATTCAATGGAGAGTATTGCGTTCTATTTTTTTTAAAAATGTAGGTCCTATTATCGTGGTCAGTGATGCCATTTATTTTGCCATATATTTTTTTAGTTGTGTCATTTATTTGTATCTGAATCTGGATACCTGGCGTAGCCAGGGTAGGTGCTGTCAAGGGTGGACCCAGATTTTTACACCGCCTTCCACAAAAATAACTCTGCAATTGGCCGAAAATGCCACCCCCGCCATATATAATAGGAGGTGCGTCTCTCGGTTTAGAAACGGCTGATTCAGTTGTTTTTGTAGATTGTTATTTTACAATAGTTTTAAAATAAAAGATTTGTAAATATTTCGTCGTGGTATTTTATATATCTGTTATGAGAATACTTCCTTTTATTATCTTTCCGTTATCCTTGAAAAATGATGTTCACCGGGTGTTTCACCAATGTTCACCGCTGTGTCACATTTAAAAAATAAAAATTCATATAATTGGAAATTAAAAGGATTGGGCTTTTAGTTTTAAAAAAAAGAGATGTCGATAATTTATTTTCATCATTTATGTAATCACAAGGTATTATTATTTCTTGGACGCTGCGAAAAGCATATTTTGGTAAACATAGACTATAGACTTTTTAAATCTTGTAAGAGATCGTCCATTAATTACGTCAACAATTTTTAAGCAATCCCCCCCCCCGGTCAACAACTGTCAAACTTTCAATGACCCCCCCCCTATTTAATTATGTCGACATATTCTACCCCCCCCCCCTTTTCAACAACTGTCAAACTTTCAATGACCCCCCCCCTATTTAATTATGTCGACATATTCTACCCCCCCCCTTTTATATATATAAAAAAAGGGAATTATATTAAAAATAAATATATAAATACACTTTAATTTGTGCTGATCTATTTTAATGTCAATAAAATTGTAGGAAAACATTTCATTATATATTTAGCTTGTTAATCCACAAGTTGAAAAGTCTTTACACTTAAACTTTATAATGCAGAATCAATTGAAAGGTTCTTAAAGACTAAATAGCATTGTTTGTGGTATAAATATGATTGTTGTCAGTAAAACTGACAGTTATAGTATAGTTTCTAGCTGCTATCATCTTGCCAAGGAGTAGCCAGGTTTGCTCTATGGTATCAGGGACATCATTTGGGTAGGGCAGAGGGGCATTTTCCCCCACCCCCTAATTTGCAGGTTTTATTTAAATTGCTATATACTGTGGCGTCTCCAGTAATAAACAACATAGCCGACCAAGTTTTGGTTTTGCCCCCCCCCCCGCCCCCGGCTGAAAAAAACATGAAATGACGCCCCTGATGGGCATAGTCTATAGTAGCTGAATGATCATTTTCATCTTGTGGCACTGATATACCCGACAAGTCATCTAACCTCATCTAACAATTCAGCACTTAAAATAGAAGCATTGTCGGTATGAGCAATAATTGCTCTCTCTATCTCCTGGCAGCTAATCCTTGACGTCAACTAATCTACCCCCCCCCCCTCTCCCTCCCTCTTGTCACCAACTGTTAAACATTTCCAAACCCACTACCCCCTATTTTCTTTAACGTAATTAATGGACGCGTCCTAAATAGTAAATGAATTGTGTGCCGTGAAACTTTGTATAGTCCTTGTGTGTATCAGATGGAGATATAAATTATACAAGGATTTAATAATAGGGCAGTTCTCATCATCTTTCTATTGCTCCAAATGCCACTCTTTTGCACGTATTTAAACTAATAAAATAATAACTTGACATATAAAAATTATTAAAAAAAAAAAAAAAAAAAACTTCAACCACCATTTTAAAGGGAACGCAATTGCTAACTCTAAAAATGCAGCACCGTTTGATAGGCTGTCTCTCTTCTTAAGTGGACCCCCTAAACTTAAATGTGTACGAATATTACAACTCTCTTGGACTAGGATGTCGGGAAATGAAAAATATGGGCACAAAAAAAGTCCTACCGCGACCCAAAAAAAAAAAAAAAAGTCTGTTTACAGACCTTTGATATCCTGTCCGTGTCACTGTAATTATATTGTAATTATATTGTAATTTTCTTCACTAAAACTGAAAAAAAAAAAAAAAAAAACCACACACATAACTGACTGCATCCGAAAATCTTCACGTAGTTCACATCGTTCCAATCCTCGTTAAGTCCCCATTAAATTGCAAGAAAATAAATAAAAGTAGACTTCAATACCCACTTTCTGACAGGCATAGACCACATGCTACATTTAAGAACGAGTTTAGTGTGTCATTAATTTATTTAATTTTCTAAAAAATTCCTCTGTCGATGTAGAAGGTATTTTAAACTAGGTTTGAACCTGGTACTACCCGCATACCCAGAAATGTCAAATATTAGCGCACCCGGCACATTCCTGGATCCGGCAAAAACGGAACCAGGTCTGATGTAAAAAAAATAATAATATAATAATGTGTTCCACCCAATGGGGAAGAAACGCTGTGTAAAGAACCAGTGCGTCTATTAAAAAAAAAAAATCTCTTATATTAACTTAGCTTTTGATGGTGGTTGAGTAGCAAAATCTTTGGCCGGCTAATTGACCCACTTCCCGTCAACAGATCAAGCTGAAACCTGGCACATAAACTAATTGCCAATGACCACACATTCTGTCGAATTTTCAGCCCCACCCTCAACAATCACTTTTTTCTTGTTTTTTTTTCAAAAGGACGATGAAGGAAATGTGATGACACTGATTTCACGAAATACAATTCTCGATAATTGCGCTAAATGAGATTCTTAAAAAAAAAAAATTATCGCAGTGCGTAATATTAAAAAAAAATAAATTCTAAATTATTTGGGTAAATAAATCTGCAGTGTAAAGTGGTTGGGTCATTAAAACACTAATATAGTTCACGGGCGTGAAAAAATGTTCGGTTGCAAGCCTTGGCGAACACTAATCGGGATTCTTATAAAGTGCGTCACTTGTATGCATGTTTTGTCAAATTTCAGCCCAACGCCCTTTTCTCAACAATATATTGTTTACAAAGGATTTATATGAAAAACTGTTAATTTAAATCTTTTATAACTTCGCTTTTGTTCGTGTCTGAAAAGTTTCTGGATGGCTGATTGATCCACTTCCTTATCGAACTGTAACTTGACACATAAACTAGTTACTGATGACAGCACATTCTACCAAATGTGGAGCCCAGGGGTGGACTGGGGAGTTCAAGCAGTCCGGGAAAAAATAAAAGCGGCCTGGAAAAAAAACAAAAAACGGCCCTATCTTCATGACTTTTGTTTTTATTATATCACCGGTCCTAGCGGCCCATCGGGAATCTTCCCGGTGTCCCGGCGGCCCAGTCCACCCCTGGGGCAGCCAGCACCAACAATGTTCCCTCTAAGGTTTGTTGGTTCGTGTGCAAAATCATACAATTGTGTGCAAAGTTTTACAGCATCAATTTGTTTGTGTGCAAAATTTTACAGCCCACAAACACTCACTTACATGGAAATTTGCTGCGCGGTACTCAAAACTGCTGCGCGGCGTCTGTGAGATAGCTGCGCGGCCGTGCAGCCTAAAGGGAACATTGCCACCCAACCAGTTTTTCAACGGGAAGATGAAGGAAATATGATACCACTAATTTACCTTGTGCTGCTTAGGGTAAAAGTAAAATCCCAACTTCCTCTCCACACTACACACATATTTTTAATACGTCTGTAATAAACATTTATAAAAGTACCACCAAGATGTTTACCCCTTATCTATGTCAAACCCTTTGCACGCTCCTAAACTATTATTAAAATATGACCGACCACCTTTTTACCATGCCCTATGTAATTTTTCTTTAAAACTAATATTTTAAGGCATATTATCAGGCTTGGAGATATTGATATTGAAATACAACCCTACCCCCTTTTTCCTCGCCCCTGAAGCTTTAAAATAAAAGTAAGAAAAAATTATCTATCTAACAATTTTAATGCAATTTTGAAAGTTTTTGCTTGATCAACTTCATATTTTAAAAGAATGCAAAGTTCCATCTGTAAATTTTTGGATTGAAGAAAGTAGAGCTTAAACTTTGTGTTGTGTGTTAATTAGAACATTGTGAGCAATTTTAATTAAGTTCTAATAATTTTTTTTTTCTTAATTATGGTTCTCCGAAGAATGAAGTGAAAATTTGAAATTGTTTGTGGTTAGTTATATGAGCCATTAACATTCATTTTTATTTTGTTTTGCAATTTGATAACAAGACAATTTAAAAAATATAAGATTTTTGGGGTTTCCTGAAAAGTTTGTTTACAAATTAATAATATTAATAACAATGGATGATCAGTGATTGTCAATCTTTCTCTATTAGGATATCTTAAATGTCGTATTCAGATGAAATACTTGTATTATTATATTAAAAATGTATTTCCAATTTATAATAATGTATTTCCATTAAATAAAATAGTACTATTCAGTAATTGTGAATTTTTACATTGTGTGCTATTGAACTCGGCGTTACATGTTGCCACTATTCTTATCTGTAAATATTAAATAATATCATGACAGATTTAATTCTCTAGTCATAGCACCCCAGAACAAGACAAGTAATGGCTCCTCTCCCTAATTCACTAGGGTCATCAATATTTAATGAACTTCAGTAATATATGGAACTTTTGCATTTACTTTTTGAAGCATTCTTTATTTAAAACAAACTATACATGCACTAATGTCACCAGTTTTATTATGCTGAAGGTGAATAATAGTTATTACAAGCTCTCGAAAAGTTCAGTCTAAGTATGATGACATTGATTACTTGTATTTGTATAGGGCTTGTCTCCTAGCATGCTCAAAGTGCTCTTATGTCACAAAAGCTAAAGAAAAATGTACATAAATATCTCTTAAATGATATTTTCATTTTTAATGCCCCTCAAAGATTGAGGTTAACACTTCCACAATTTCAGCACTATTGCTTCAAAAGAGTCAACTCTGTATGCTTTCTGTGTCCATCCACACAAGGAAGTATCAACTCATTTTCTACAAAGAATAACCAATTCAATGAATTTTTTATTTTTAACAAGTTTTAATGGAATTTTAATCGTTGTAAGCATTCTCCCATTCACTCATTCTTTCATACAATGTGGGTGGCATTTACCAACACACAAGTCTCAGATAACTTGTACATGAAAAATATCTAACACTGCTCACATGTCTTTCTAGAATCATGGTTAAAAAACAGTGAAAAAGGATGTTACTTGACCAAGTTTACTTTATGTCCAGGCTGGTCTGCTGTTCTTATTGAATTGTATACTTCAGTTAGTATTTAAAGTCAATCATAAAATGTATATTCACATGTTGAACATAAGGCATGAGGTGAGTTAAGAGACATGGGATTTAACCAAAGAAAACACACAAAGTGTTTGACAGCAAAACACCATTAATAAAATTATGCCTTAACATTTCATCATGATTTCAACATTTATATATATGTGTGTGGGACCATAAAAGAAAAGAAAAACACAACAAACCAACAGGTTCAGTAAAATTTCATACAGGTTATAACAGATCCAGTAATTTTAGAAATGCAAGATACCAGAAAAAAAACCTTAAAGCACAGCTGACAAATTGCTTGAAAAATGGCTCTACAGAAATTAAACAAATAAAATGAATTATTCCTTGGCATCAGCTTTTTCTACTGTAAATGGTGTTTCTACTTCTATAACACCACAATCTGCAATAACAACATCTTTTGATGGCTTATCCCTGGAATCTGTAGGAGTCTTTTCAATTTTTCTCACAATATCCTGAAATACAGAAGAAGTTGTTAATGTAATAAAACCATAACTTATAAATTATTGGTTATATACCACGAAATGAAGTTTCGGAGAAAATGTATGCTACAGCAAAATGATAAACATACCCACTCATTTTAAATGATATGAAAACAATTTTAGACACTAGGGACATTCAATTAACCCACAAACTGTGTATGTTATGTTTCTGTACCATGCTGGGAATTTAGAGCCTTTGAAAGAGGTTATTTTTCACATGCAAATACTATTGCTGGACCCCATAAAGTATATATTTATTGAAAGTAACCCGAATCACACTGGATATTTTTTATTGATATTTTATACCCGCTGACCGTGACCTTGTAGTGACAAGAATAAAGAAAATAATGACATTTTTTATTTTCAAGTACCCCTAAATACAATTTTTTAAAGGCATTATTATAATGTTTATACAATATGATAACATTTATATATATCTTTTAGAAGATATATAAAAATGTTATCATATCTTTTAGAAGATGTATTATTTGTATATTATGTTTTAGTTAATAGATTAAAAAAAAAATTCTTCTGATACTTATAATTACGTTCAAGTAACAAAGCACGACATAAACAATATAAACATAACTAAATAGCATGAAACAGATACAATTTAAATAGCTGCTATATAAATATTTAATCCATGAAATGAAATATAAGAAAACATTTATAGCACAACATCCAATTATTTTTTGTTGGTAGAAAATCATCTGCAACATAGTTTTGAACCTCATCCATTATGCAAAAATCTACTTACACAAATTTGCTTGACAAAGATCGTTTAAAAAAAGGACAAAGAAGAGTGAAAAACTGAAGTTTATTTATTATTAAAAGGAAGTAGTTTTATTTGGTATAAAATATTGGACTGGAACTTATTCTTTCAACGCAATTTTTATCTGCTGATTTTATCCGCAGCCACAGTTTAGAAAGAGAAAATCAGCTGATTAGATCGGCCGACCAGTTCGTGGGTAAAAAAAAAAAAAAGTCCAGAAATAATTTTGAAAAACTAATTTATACCATTGTTATAAGAGACTTTTCTTTTGAAAATTTGGTGCAGATAGTATTTTAGTGTAGGCCAGGGGAAATCTGTCCACAATGACGCCCCCTCCCCCAAAGCTCATACCATCTGTATAATTTAACTGATGTGACACTATCCAGGAAAAAAAAAATAATTACCATGCCCTTCACAATTTTTCCAAAAACAACGTGGCGTCCATCTAACCACTCTGTCTTTTTAGTTGTGATAAAAAATTGTGAGCCATTTGTATCTTTGCCAGCATTGGCCATAGACAGCCAACCAGCTCCATAATGTTTAAGTTTGAAGTTCTCATCCTTAAAGCGGTCTCCATAAATACTCAGACCTGGTAAAAAAATGGTTTATAAGAGTGTTGATATCGTCAAGACAATAAATGACACACAGTATATGTTAATAAAACAAAATAGGTTCAGCTTTAATTATGGTTACACATAATACAAATGTGAACATTTCAGCGAATGCTTTCTTCAGCACAAAAAAAAAAAATTTAAACAAGTATAAATTAAATTTACATAATACATATGCATGTGTCCTACCTAAAAATGAAAGAAAAGAAAAAGAATGGACACAAGTCCTTAACAAAAGCAAAGCTCAGAAGAATGGAAAGAAATTTAGTGGAAGTAAACTTTAAAACCCAAACAGAAAAAATACTTTGCACTGAAATTTGCCGCTATGTTAAATTGTGAATTTGTTTTTATACTGTATGGGGTCAATGTGCCTCATCTTGGTATTAATTTAATAACCATATAAATTCTATCAGGTGTATTACTTGCATACAATATACCAGTAACTGCAATATCTAATATTCCATTATGGTTAGCATTACTGAAATGTTAAGAAACTGGACAAAGGGCTTGTTTATTGATTTTGCACAAGTGTTCTCTAAACAGTCTCCAAGGTGATGACCGGTCCTCTCTATGTCAGATTTTCTGTACTTTTTGCATAAGGATGGTGTAAATCATGTAAATTAAGATATATTCGTTTAAACTACATAGTTCAAAGACTGAATGAGTTTTAATACACAATGGTTAGATTATGTTAAATTAGTGTTTACTTGTAGAATCTAACAAAGTGGTTGTGCTCTTTCTAATTTGGCACATTCATTGTTGTAAAAAAATAGATCAGTTACATGAAAATTAAATTCCCAACATACCTCCTGTACCATCACCCCTTGTAAAATCTCCGCCTTGAATCATGAAGTCTTTAATGACGCGATGAAATTTGCTGCCTTTGTATGCCAGTTTGGTGTTACCATCCTTGCCCTGTGACATTACAAAATGATTAGTTCAATATGAAAAATTAACTAGACCATCTTTTGTAGTAAATGCTACAATCAATCACCTGGCACAGGAACTAGAATTAATGATTTGGAATTAGCGATAAATGTATAATAAATGCTATAAATACTGACCAGTTTAATAAATAAAATATACTCAGAGATTAACTGGGTTGAAAATTACCACTTGATCCCCAACTGCAAGAGCCTTAAAGTTTTTGACAGTTTCTGGGACAGTTTTTCCAAAAAGTCCTATCTCAATTCTTCCAGCTTTCTCTCCACCGATCTCGATGTCAAAAAATACCTAAAGAAGGTTGAAGACAAAACAGTTAAGCCCAATCATTCACACAAATATAATAAATATAGACATACCGGTATTTATTACATGTAACTGTTAACTATTGACATAATCACCAATGACTCTGGGCCTGGGATAAAAACATATTAGTATTAGCCTCTTTGACCTAGTGGGTGTAGGACGGGGGAAGGGTGGGGTGTGTGTGTCCAGCTTACAGTCACTTTTTTCTCTAATTATAGGAGTTGTCGAATTTTTGGTGCAATAGACACAACGCATTATTTTATACTAATTATTACTCATTATGAGATATTGGAACTCTTTATGGGTTAATTCTATGGGGTTTATGGTCTTTTTTTCTGAACCAGTTAATTTGAAATATTAGTTGTAGTGTTTTTCAGGGGCAGGGTGGGGTGTTGTGCCAACTCAAAGTCGGCTCATGGTGGCAGCACAATGTTTAGCTATGGCTATGCCACTGCTTTAAGCATGGGCTATTAAATTAAAAATAAAAAGTGATAATACGATTCACTATTTAATTTAATTAATACACCATTTAAACATTTAAAATTCAACTTTTCTAGTTCTAAGTAAATCTAAGAGACCCACAATTGAAAAGAGTAGACTAGAAGTTAAACGTTTTACACAAAAAAAATCAAAGTTTAGTAGGTCCTGAACAAGTTTAAAAAAAACTGGATGATTGATTGATTAATTAAATGATTGAAGGAATCACGTTCATTTATTCAATGATTTATTAAACTACACAAGTTACAGTACTGTCTGAGTACAGTCACTACCAAGTATCAGTATCAGTATTATCGTCATTTATGAAAGCCAGAAATGTACGAACCTTATCGGTAACTTTTGGTCCCTTCTCAGCACCTGACACAAAGCTTGAGATGGCAAAAATAAGTACAGCTGCAAAAAAGACGCCCATGATGACTTTTAGCGCAACCGCACTCGTCGCTCTTCTTAAATTCAGTGTGATGGTTCTTATTAAACAAAAGAAGAAGCCGGGTGTTCTACAACTTGGATATTTCTCATTGGTTGTTTGTACCGGAAGTAAAAACGTGTCAAGGATATATTTTTTTTCTATTCAATCATCAAGAAAGAAGATAAGAGACAAAGTAATTAGTATATCTTATAGTTAGTAATTAACTCAAGGAACAATAAACCCTTATCTAACCACACATAGGCTTTGTAAGATACAACATAAAAAGAGGAAGATTACATTTCGCTCTCTTCAAATTAACATCCGATAATGGAAATGACAAAGGGTCATAATTACTAGAACTATTAAAGCTCATTTTTTACGGGGTTTTATCCCTTTAACAATGGAAAGTCTCTTTATCTTTAAAATTATTAAAAAGCAAGTAAAGCAGTGGTTCTTAACCTTTTTGGAGATACCGAACCCCACCATTTTCATTTGCGCATTCACCGAACCCTTCATAATAGGAAAAATAAAATATGATTTTTTTTGGGACCTCCGCCGAACCCCTGAGACTGACTCACCGAAGCCCCTGGACGATCGAACCCAGGTTAAGGACCACTGAAGTAAAGGATCCCCATGCTTTTGAATTTATTTAAAAAAAAAATATATATATATACATACCACCTGAATTCATTAGGATTTGCACAGTGGCTATTAAAGTTAATGACAAAATTATAACTTTCACTGAAAGGATCTTTAAATTGAAATTATGTCTAAATAAAAGTAGGTTCTGGTTTCACATGACTAAAGTAGTCACTGGATATGAGTTGTTTTTGTTTGTTTGTTTTTTTTGGGGGGTGAGGGGGGGAGGGGTGGTATTTTTAAATTGGGGGAAAATATGTCGGGGGGAGGGGAGGCACATTTTTTTTGTGGGGAGGGGGTGGATTTTGGTAAAGTAACGCAATCCACATCAGTGTTAAAAACTTATTTCACGTTAGAGTAAAAATAAGACTGTTGAATTAGATTCAATCAAGGAACAAACTAACCCCCTCTCCCCCGTTTTAATTATTTATGTAATATATCGTTTAAGCACCGAATTAAGCAATCAATGTTGTGAAAAGGGAGGGGAAGTGGCACGCCATCTTAAGAAGGAGCAAAACTCGTCACTTTTTATTAACAAATATGTAAATTAAAATATTCTTTTTTATGGGGAAAATGGCGGCTAAAGTGAGGCTTTGCTCCGGGCGCAGTTTTATCACTGACACGGTCCTACACGCATTTGCAATATCATTAGGCTGTTTTTATTATATACTTGTTGGATTAATACTCATTTTTGGATTCCAACTTAATGTTAAGTAGGTTACACAGCAAAAGCTGCTAATAGAGTCTTTTTTAAAATTAATTTTTCAAATTAGCATTGAACTTGTACATATGTTAACACATCAATTAATATTACTGAAAGACTCACTCTAGACCACAGGTAAACATTACATTCATATTTCCGATGGTGCGACAGAGGTTTTTTTACTCTGGGGATACAAAATTGTTAGGTGCTCGAATTTAAATAAATAGGGCAGCCCCATGGGCGCCAGCAGGTAGGGGCAAGGGGGGCACTTGCCCCCCCCTCGGATTGATTGGATAAAAACATTTTAGAAAAAAATAGACAAAAAGTTTATTAAAGTAAAGAGAAAATAAAGAGAAAGTAACTAAGCTGATGTCCTCTCCGTTCGTTCACCATACAAAGACGCTACAGTAAATTAAAACTATATTAAAACATTACTAAAAATTTTTTGCCCCCCCCCCCTGGAAGGTT